CCACTATGTTGCCTGGGTTTCTCAGCCTGCGGAGGAAATCTCATCTCGTTGATCCGCGAAATAGGGTCGACCCGTCATGGATTCATTCCCATTCCACCCATTTTCAAAATAGAGTCAACAGTGATCGTGAGCTAACTGCTAGCACTCCGAGAAAAGAAGGGAGAAGATCCCAAGTCATGCAATTTATTGCACGCATGCCATTGTTTGATGGGGTGTGAAATAAGCAATAACGCTTTAGGCTGATGCCAGCAATCAACATCGCCTCCGGAGACCACGGGTTTACGGAAGGAAACTTCTTCAAGAAGTTCACTGTCTCTCAGGCGTACGTGGATTCTCTTTTTCTGGGCTATCCTGTTTTGTTTCATATAGTTACACGCCTGCTGAGTGGATGCTTCAGTAAGGATTTGGTTTTTATATTTCAGAGTTGTACCTTTTTGAGATCGGGCTAATGAAAGCGGAGATTAGTGCAGAAGCAGGGAAAGATATAACAACTGGCTGAGCCCTAGGTCATTTCCCTGTAGTTAATGTGCATGCAGAAGTTACATCAGAAGGGGTGGCCGGATGAAACTGCAAATGCAGGGCTTTTACGGAGTGGCGGTGTACCCTTTTTGCACGCATGTTGGATAGTTAACCATTGTTTTGTTGGGCCGACCATAATCCCCAACCGATCACGCTACAAATTCTCCATTTGCAGTAGAAGAGCGCAGCCGATTCGATGCATGGAGATGTTCCTAAATGTGTGGTGGGATGGGACATTCTCTTGTCAAATCATCATATCGGCGGTTATTTTCCTGTAACTCGATTAGCTTTCTTTACGCGCCAGGCCAGCGAATGCTTCTTAACTACCGCCAGCGTTTCAAGACAGTGAACTTGAATGCCTATGTTTCATTTCATTCATAGTTATTTATTACTTATTCATGCCCTCGTTGCATGTTGATTCTCATGATACCATATCCCAATGCTAGTTACCACTCCACTTCTATTATTAAATTTATTAGCAATCATCCACTGAGAGGCGCCGGTGCACGGGGACCGTATTCTTGGATCTCGTGCAGATCGTTTATTCCAAGATCCAAGATCCAACTAGCTGGCGGGATAAATACATAGTCAACTCGCAAAGTTTAATACCAGAGAAGCACAGAGAGTCGCTCCTCACCGGAGCATCATTATATATATCAGGCTAATTAATTTAGTTAGTTACCTAGATACTTCTAATGCCTTGCAAAAGTAGAAAGTAAACTAAATAAGTAGACCGACAGTCTGACGCATCCATTTTGCCAGCCATAGACCAATTCTTTCCTCTTGCTAGCGTTAGCTGGATTGACGGATTCTAGGGCTATTTTGCGGTCTTTTTAAGATTAATATGGGCATCGGGAGTGCCTGAAGGGGTCCAGTGGACCGGGAGAGCAACTTGAATGAGATTGTTTGACAGCTTCTTCCTGAGCAAATGCGCGTGGATCGATGTAGAGTTGCGAATCATCTTTTCTCGGTTGCAGACTAATACGAAGCAGAAGCGGCAAGATCGATAACTAGTTGTCGAACAAACAAACGAATAACAGGCCCGAAGATACCCAGGGAAATCTCCAATGCCAGATATGTAGTAGTTCCTCAGCCGGTCGTATTCTGAAGAGGCTGTATGAAACAAGAAGGTCAGAGGGAGGGAGGCGAGTGAGATCTGAATGAATCGTCCACCCTGCCAGCTCGACTAAATGTCTGAGATGTGAGGCGTTCAGGCCGCAATGAATTCCCCCTTCCCAATCATGATCTCGACAGTCATTGGCATTTTTGAAATTAGTATGTTCGGGCTTTTGAAGGGCTTTGGGGGTCTGATCCGACTGGACTGTATAATGTATTATATGGGCTGTATTTGGTTAGTGCCCTGGAAAGCTGGAGAGAGTCGTTGATTGATTTATCGACGTTGTATGTTCAGTACATTGACTCATTAACTACCGTGCTAACTATTCAGTTCGGTATTTGGGATGGGAAATGGTAGAAGTTGGAGGTTTTGGTAGCCGTGAGATAAGGACTAACTGGTTCACTCCTTTCTTTCTTTCCTTCTTTCTCCCTCTCTGCTTTGCTTTTGTGGAATTTATTTCCCTATTTGATTTCCCCCACCATCGACGAAGACATGGGTTGGATGTATGTATATGCAGATCTCTCACTTAAGAGCAACTCTCAGTTTTTACTCTCTCGGAGAGATAAATCGATGAAGTTAACGATTAGAAGGGGACTAGGCATCACTCTATATGTCTGTCATGTCATGTAAGGGACGGGAAATACTGGCACGGTATTGAGAGACACGGGCAGAAGTCACAAGGTAGAGGAGAGCGCAGTAGAGACGGAAATAGGCCTCATGATCGTGGGGCGTGGAGGTGTTAGGGCGAGTCCGGGATATTAGTTATCTATCGTGACGGCAAAGACGTAGGCATCATCAGGGTAAAGAGCACGCAGGGGAGTGAGGCGGGGAGGAAAGGGGATGCCGCTTGAAGTGAGAATGGAGGGCTTGGAAAACCAGCGTCAGAGTGAAGGTGTTTAGCTTTTTAGCTTTTTTGTAACAGATCAAGGGTCGAATGTAGGAATGCTGATTAAATAACTAACTATCAGATGGGGTGTTTTGGAATGGCAAAAGGGAGAATTAGCCTAAGTAAGCCTGGGATGCCGGGGGGGGAACAGGACGACCTCTTCCAGGGAAAATGCGGGCCAATAAACGATGGCGCTGTAATCTTCACAGGAAGTGCCTGAATATTTACTCAAATTTTGAAGTCCAGTAACTAACTAGATAGAGTTACTTCTCATGCCATTCCCAACAGCGAGGGGTCAGTCGCATCAGTAGAACCATGGGTCAGGCCGCGCTCTCTCTCCCGTCGCACGCGTAACCGGGAACAATGACCAGTCATAGAGTTGGATGGGGGGAGAAGGGAGAGAAGAACTGGGTTGCATTTTCTTTTTCACCTTGAGAGTTGCTCTGCTAGATTGTGTCCCAGGGCATGAAGGATACTACTATTTCTATGAAACAACCCTTGTCCCATACTGTTGTTGATATTGTGTTGCTAAATATCCTCAACTCGGAGAAGAAAAATTTGAAAAAATAAACGTTCCTTCCCGAGTTTCCTGATGACATCCATCGTACATGCATACACCACACGCTGTCCGTACAGAGACGCACATCGAACTTAAGCAGAAGAATCATGGGTAATATCATTCTGGACGGAGATACGCTGGGCAAGCTGGGCTGTCTTGAGGTGGGAAACAAATCCGAGATGAAGGACCAAAAAGGTACATGGAACTCAGGAGAGAAGCAGTCAGGAATCCATCCATCCTGCTTCATCCTCGAACGGATAGAAAAGAAAAGCAGAGTCCATTAAGTCTATAAGCTTCATGAATCTTTAAAATTCTAGAGCTGGAGACCGTGGCAGCCACTCAGCGAGCTAGGCCCGCGTCCCCTGTTGCTGGATCATGCTCAGGTCAGGTCTTGCATTTGGCGGGCCAGTTGATAGTCTCAGACGCACGTCTACCCAATGCCAGGCAGAGGCGTCCAATCGTCGCCATGCGATGAGCTTCAAATGAACGATAAAGCGTCGCCTTACTTTTTGGAACCCATCCGTCTCCTGGTGGGGATCCTTTAGACCCTGGAACTACTCATCCCACTATCTCATTGGAACCAGTCATCTGTCCCGAGACCAGAACCATCACAGAACGTTCTGACCAAGAATGGTTCCTGTGTGGTGTCTCAATCTTGCTCTGGTTTTTGGCGGAGCATCCGGCTCATCAGAACATGATTTAAAAAAAAAAAAAAAAAAAAAAAAATGAAACTAAATAAAAAGCAAAGCAAAGCAAAAAGCACGAAGCCGATAATGGGCCGTTAGTTACAGGCATTGATTTGACGAGCTCTGACAGAAAAATATTGCCTCTTTAATTAATTATGGTTATTTAATTTTTTCATGGCTCCTTGCTCGTGCCTGAATTTTGTTATAATGCGTCGAGGCGAAGAATGCTTTGATCTGATTGAGGGACAAGGTTCTTCTCAAACCGATGCTAACGTCCTGGAGGTTTCCCAAACCCGTTGACCGACTGGATGCCAGTGGATAAGGGATTGTTTCGCTCTGTGCGTTCCGCCAGGGATGGCGATTTTAGAAGATCTGCCACAGGATTTCAAGCAGAATATGGAGTTCCATTTCGGGGGCCCGGGGGGTGGGGAGGAGAAGAAAAACAGCGGCCTTGCGAAATCGTCTTAACCCGAATTGAATTATACTTGAAGAGAGCTGGAGGAGCTCTTTTCTGTTATATTTATTATAATCCTCCTCGTCGAGATCCGTTTTCCTTCTAAATCAGCACATCATCTCCAGAGTACCCACCGACTCCCTCCCATAACCCCAACAGCAATATATCAATTTACCATCTGCCCCTCGAAACTCATCATTTATCTTCACCACTACCCCAATATAGATACCATTATTCTGATATTGTTATTATTATTATTATTATTATTATTATTATTATTATTATTGTCTTCTCGTTTTGTCTATCCGGGCCGTTGACCCTGGTTGGACATTTAATCCTCAATAATAATAGTTGCTACTCTCCCCCCCCCCCGCACTCCCAACTACTCAGTCACACCACACCACACCAAACACCCAAACTTCACCCAACTCAGCCAACTTCAACCCCCTCCCGATAACCTGCTGCTTATCCGCCTCCTCCCAACTACCCAACCACACCGCTTCTTCTCCTCTCACCCAACCGCTCTTCTGCTCCACAACCAACCGTTTCTTCTTCTCTCACAAACTTCTTCACCATCTGTTGAAGAGATCTTTTTATTCGCAGAATCTCTTCTCTTCTATTTTTGTCTTCCTAACGACTTTTTACGACTTTGACGACCCCAACTGTAACTATTTAACGCCGTGCTTTAAGTTCTCCCACCTCTTACCCCTCCCTCCTAAGTGTATCCAGCCCCACGTCTTTTCTTCACCCATTCATTCATTCATACATCCACAACCACCATGACGAGGTATCAGCCGCCGTCGGCTTTTGAGTTTTATCATCAGTCACCATCTTCTCTCGATACGAAACCTGTGTTTTCCGGAGACGACGAGATGAGTGTGCTGGATGATAAGATCCTCGAAACCACGTCAGATATCGCTTCCATGAACGACCCAAGACGGTCATCTTATGATCACACCTCAGAGGATTTCTCTCGAAGAAATTCCGTCTGGTCAGATTCTCAATCACGAAATACCTCTCAGATGTCTACGCCTCTCTTTGAATCCGTAAATCCCTTTGGACGAGTGGACACAACGCCGTCGGCTAGTTATGGCCAGCATCAATCATGGCCTCTCTCTGCTGATTCGGGTTCGTGTACGCCTACCCCAATCTACGAGCAATTCCCACACGACTACGACGGAAGCTCTACCAACCCATTTGCTGGTGGTGCTGTTGGTCCCGTCAACCTCGTGCCCTTCTCCCAGATTCCATTTCGGCCTGGGTCGACCTTCCCTCAGTCTGCTGCGACGCCAATGTCTCCCCAGTCCAGCCAGGGCTGGGTTTCAGGGACGTCAGAATCGACCGAGGCGCGCTCGAAACCCATCCGGAATACCACATACCGCAACGGTTCCCCGCTGCATATGCGACGGGACGGTATCCGGAAGAAGAATGCCCGCTTCGACATTCCTGCTGAGAGAACTCTCAGCAATATTGACATGTTGATCAGTCAATGTACCGACGAAGATGAGATCAAAGAGCTGAAACAGCAAAAACGTCTGCTGAGAAATCGACAGGCAGCGTAGGACACCCTCTTCCTCTTTCTATTCAACCCCCCATCCCAGATGAGACAGTGACCAAAATTAATGATTTAAATAGACTCGACTCCCGACAGCGGAAGAAGGTGCATACTGAACAGCTCGAGGAAGACAAGAAGCGGTCTTCTTCTCTCATCACAGAGCTCCAAGATGCCCTTCGGGAGATGAAACTCCGGGAGGCGGAGTATCTTCGGGAAAAGACGGAAATGTTCGAACGTGAGCAGCACCTGCGGGGGTATATCGACCAGCTCCACCTGGAGAAGGAGGAAATGATCCGCTCCCATACCCTTGAGACCGGCGAACTTCGCAAGAAAAATGTTATCCTTCGAGAGCACCTGGATAAAGCGGAGCTCAACGCCCAGCAAACTACGAACGCCACATTCCGCAACGAGTTCTCTGATTACGAGAACATCACCATGGAGAATGCTCCTTGGGATGACTTCTCAATTGTCAACGAGTTCTCTCTTGACGCCCATAACTCCTCCCTCGTCCGCACTCCTACCCCCATACCGGACAACACTGCACTCATGGCTTCCAAAAAGTCCGACAAGTCTACGGACAAGCCTCCAGGTCATACCGAATCCTCCCCCTTCAGCTGGAATACGTTTTACATGTGTTTGCTTTTTGGGGCTTTTATTGCATCCAATAGCAGCTCAGTCTCGGCTCCTGCTATCCCGCCCCTCTCGGAAGAGTACCGAGCGGAATCAGCCAACGTCCTACGAGCTGTTCTTGCATCCGCTGATACAATGGAAGCTGCCCAGACCCTCAACTTTGGAACCATTCCCGGTCCATCCGTTTCCACCACCGCCAGCCTTCCTACCACCATTACCGGTGCGGAAATGGCACGGATCACTGGTGGAGGACCAACATCAAGTCTTGAAGATTTGCACCACAATCTAGTCGCTCTCACTAAGCAACAAGAGGAAGAGCAGATCTTCTCTCTTAGCACCGAAAGGTATAGGGCTCTTACTGACTTGGAAGATGAAGGAGGAGACTTCAAGCCTCCTCCATCGAATTTCCAGCAAGCCTATGCCTCCATGCGAAGCTCTGGCCTGCAGCATACGAAAAATGCTCCTGACATATATTCACGGTCCTTATTATGGGACCGTGTTCCGGAGAAGGTGGTTCAAGATTTTAGGAGGATGGTGAAGCAGTGTGGTGTTTCTGATGCTGCCAAGGATGAACAAACAGGAGGTGTTTGCCAATCATGATTTTTTTTTTTTTTTTTTTTTTTTTTTTTTTTTTTTTTACGACAGACCGCTCATCAGTTCGTTGCTCATTCTTTTCCTAACGAAGAACAACGGAAGCAAAACTGTACGATGCCCTTGAGCATCCTACTCCGCTCGACGCGACCCCGACAATCTTTCTTATGTCTAACGAATCTCTCCTCCATATATCGATGTGCCTTTTTACAACCGTGGTTCATGAACAGCATTTACGAGCAGGCATTATGTTTTTTTCACCTGTTCCATCTTATTAGGATTCCTCTTTTCAGCAAAACAGGGGAAATGGTCAGGATAGCGCGCATATTTCAAACTCATTTTTTTTTGTCGATTTCTTTTTTTCTTCTTCTCGGAAACCAGACCTACTAGATGTGACCGCAAGGCGAGAAATTTAAAGGGGGCGACTCTTTTTTCCTTTGCTTGCCTAATACACCTCCTATATTATGGGCGACCACCAACCAAACCAGACAACAGAAAGAGACGACAAACTGTTCACCCGGGCAACAAACAACGGATGAACGAACGAGCGAGGCACACCCCGCATGTTTTCTATGTACGCTCCTCCTCAACTAATCCAACTATACACACTACACCTTGCAAATTTCATTTGTCTTCAAATTATCTTCTTGTGGTCATTCTCCTCGCTGCACAAGTCCTTCCGACGAGCAGAATTTTCCCCCGCAAGTAACAGACTTATCCACCGCCAGAACAAACGTTCTATACAGCTAAGCCTCACCCCACGGTGCTTAACCAGCAAATTACTCTCTTTTGCAAACCCTTCCTTTCATTTTGTTATATATATGTGCATTGTACAACCCTTTCTTTGGCCCCATCCCTCACTTTGCGGATACGAAGGTGTTATCACAGAAAGGAAAAAGGATCGCTACTCTTCTTCTCTCCAAAACCCAATCCAGGAGAATTCCGAACAACCTATCTCATTTTGACATGGATTTTTTGACCATCTTTTGAAAAATTATTCTTCCTGTGTGAAACTATATCTAGCCATTTATTTAGCGATTTATGTGTGCATTCTATCTTTCCTGGGGACACTTTTTTTCTGTTCCTTTTTCTCCCTCTTTTGGGTTTACCTGTTTTTGTAATATGTCCACCTAGCTTGCCATTTAAGCTGTTGCTGTGATTCTACTTCTTTATTTTTTCTGCCTGCATACTCTAGCCCCTGCCTTGCCTTGCGCCCTGCCATTAATGTTCATGACACCTTGAGAATTTTTGTTGATTATCATTATCTCTTCCTGTTTTTTTTTTTTTTACCATGTCATTTGTCGATAAGCCTTTTATTGTTATGTGTTTATTTCTAGCGATTGCGCATGGTCCCAGTTTCTTTACTCTTCCCTCTCCCTCTGTCCCCCCTCTCTTCTCATGATATGGATTTGGCTTCGAGACCAATCCATCTTTATGTCTTGTCGCATCCTTTAAAAATATTTACTTGGGACCCCATTTTTCTGCGTTTATTTTTGTTTGCTTGCCCTGTTTAATGACATGATTTATGGTTACGATTTCTCATGAAAGATGGCTATGCCTTTCGGGGCTGGCAATGCCGAGACGGGTTGGAGGGTTATGAGCGCTGTTTTCGATCAACATGTCCAACTTACTTACTTCTTTCTCCTTCCTTCTTGACTCCAAAAACCTTTTCACTCCTACCATTCTTTTCCTTCTCTCAATTGACAAAGTCAGCAAAAGTATCCGCTCCCCAGTTGGTGATCATTGGATACCACTTTTCTGGCTCTTTTGAGAGAATCCTTTTTCAACTTCCCCTTTTTCTGCCCTCAACCACTTACCTACCTTCTTTGGATATATTCTTTTCTTAAATTTAATTTTAATCAATCATTTATGGAATTTACTCTTTGGTTCTCTTGTAATCATCTTTTGGCCTATGTGATTCTGTAGTTGTGTAAAGAGAATATCCTCCGTAATTGTAAATGAAAAGTAACGGAAGAATTAAATGAACTCACGCCAACAAGAATCACTAGTTAGATGATAAATATAATACCAGGTACCAGCCAGATATTCCAAGCGCGACAGGCAACCCTATACACATCCATTCATAAAATCCGTGAAATCCAAACCTGTAACTAGATGATAAAGAAAATAATAAACCAACAAACCAAAATACCGCCCTGCTCTACAAGCATAAATCCTTCACTTCGGATTATACTTCTCCTTCCATATCCTACATAAAAAGTAAATAATAAACCATTGGTCAGTGACGATCCAGTCAGTTTGCACAGAAGAAAAAAATAAAAAAATAAAAAAAATAAAAATAAAAAAAATGTAAAAAAAAAGAAGCCGTCAAACAATTTTAAACGAGAGCCTATCAAGACCCTCTGATTCTCGCAGCTTGCTACTACGTAACAAACACACTCGAATATCCCCCCCCCTCATACATTGATTCACGGACAGGAGGACATACACAAACATGCACATGCGACATTAGGCCTCGAGAAGCTAGCAATTCGCGTGCCATATGTGTCGTATGTTTGTATGTTTCATTCCGTCCGCAAATGTGCACAATGTATGTGAAGAGAGATAAATGGCCGATATTTTTCGCGTTTCGCGCGCGTCGCGATATAAGTTGAAGCTTGGACTGGTGGTTGCGATTGGGACTGGAACTGGGCAGGGCGGAAAATAGAGAGGTAATGTATGTGCAACACCGATACAAAAGCGCGCAGAATGCAGAAACACGCAGCATGATAGGGAGATATGGATGCGGTTTGTGATGGTTGGGATGGGGGTGGCATAGGAGCAACCTGAGAGGGATTTATGCAATGTGATGTCAAGAGTCAAGTGCAAGCGAGTGAAATTAATACGGGAGAAGGCCAGCCTGTAAGATAGGGCAACATCGGATGTGGCTGCTATTTCGCGTGGTGTCATGTTTGCTTGCTTGCTAGTATTGATTGGAGAGCCGCTTTGTTGGTTTTGGTGCCTGGGTCCATGCAGGTCGCGGCAGGGCTTAGGATGTGTGCTTCTTCCCTGATGGAGATTGGAAGAAAAGGAGTCCAAGCCAATGAATGCAGAAGAAGGGGTGCCGTGTGAATGTGATGAGGAAGACGGTGATGGTTATTGAACTATGGGGGTGAAGTGAGGGACCAAAACTTACCAAGAATTTCCTAGCGTCTTATTCCCGTTTTCTTCTGCGAGGCGGTAGTATTTTGCGGCCATGTACTAAAAATATATAAAAGAGGTGATTTGAAACAGGATTAGTATTGGTCGACTCAAGGTATTTTCTGATTCCCGCAAGGGGAATAAAATCATCGAGCGAGACACAAGGTAGGAATTGAAGTGGGGGAGGGGGGAGGAGTGGAGAGCTGATGCGATGGCCAATGGATAAGGCGGGAAAGAGTAAATTGGTGAACGTCGGGGCCCAAAGCCCAAGGGAAAAAGTGAGGGAGGGGAAATATAAAAAGCATTACTGCCCAACGGTGATCCATGTGTGACAATTAAAAGCTGTATCCGAAGCTCTTAATTGGTAGAAGCTCCCTTTGCTTCCGAAGCGTATTATGCAAGGCACTAGGCCAGTGGTAAATCCACGACGGATTCAGCCTCACGAGCACAGGAGCCTGAGGCAAATAGAGTGGCGGTGGAGAACTGTGCTTTGCTTTGTGTTTCTCTCTGTGTCTCTGCCTCTTTTTCGCATGGACGCTCAAGCAAAGATATTGATATGCGATATAAAATGAACAGATGGATATTGATATATATGAAAGAAGGAGCAAGCAATTGAATTCTTCTCTCGCCCTTCAATTTTCTTCTGACTTACCCTATCCTTTTTCCCTCCAAATCCCTCCAAGAAGCACCAAGCCGCCTCATTCATGGCGTCCGTGTCTCCTAGATTCGCTGCAGTCTCATAGTAATGTCTAGCGGCGACGGAATCTTTGGCGACACCCCAACCGTTGCGGAAGCAATTAGCCAATTCGTATATCGCAAGCACAAGCTCGCCTTTCGCGGCTCCGCCCTTTTTGATTCCCGCGCGCAGAGCTTCTGCTTCGATCAACGCTGAGTTCGCTGCTGCTGCGGATATATAGGTTACGGCTTTGTCGGGATTGGGTGTGCAACCCCATCCATGCCTAGAAAAGGAATATGTAAGAAGAGACTGGTCTTTTTTATCTTCCAGGGTTGGGAGTGGACGTACCGGAGAGCCAGGCCGTAGAGCACCTGGCTCAGCGCGTTGTTTGCACCATTGGGATCAGCCAGTTTGCCAAACATCCGGGTTGATTCGATGAGCTCTGTTTTGAAGAAGAGAGAATAGTTAGTTAGCCAATGCATTATCCTGGCATTAGATGTTTGTATTAAAATCATCCATCTTTTCTCGGATATGTAGCTTACGTCCTGTTTCATGTAATCGAATCGCTTCTTGGATGCTTTCCTATATCACATAGAGAACCCATCAGCAATGTACCAATGTCTATCGATAGCAAAAGCCATCACCACCCCGTCTCCGCTTCAATTTGAAGGCCAAGAGGCAAAGTCATACGTACATCACCTTCCTTCTGCTGCTGTATATCACCCTGCGGCTGCGGACTGACCGACCTCACACCAATCCCCGTCAAGGTGCCCTGCACCAACACCGTCGCCCGCTTCTCCCACTGCGCCTCTAGTTCTTGCGCATCACCTGTATCCGGCCCGATCTGCGGGAGGTCTGCGGGGAGAAGTCCAGAAGAAGTGCTCGCGGCACGCGACGAACGGTTCAGATGCAGGCGCTGGGAAAGAGGGCGTTCGTCCTTTTCACTGCGCGACGGAGATCGGTCATTGTTGGGAGAGTTCTCGCCACTAGCTGCGGAGGAGACGTTGGAATGACGACGGAAGCGCGAGAAGCGTTTGCGCGAGGTTGTGGAGGGCGAAGAAGTTGTAGTTGATTGGGATTCGAATTGGCATTGGGATTGCGACTGGGAGTTTGGATGAAAGGGGTGGGCGTGCGAGGAAGGGTCGGATTGGAGATTTGTGTCTTCTAAGCTGGGAGGATGGATGCGCTCTTCGGAGACCGTGTCTGTACGGATGAACTTGAATTCTGGGTGTGGTGGCGGAGGATCCGGTGCTTGAGGGAAGGGCTCCTGTTCGTAGGAACGCTCAGGATGCTGCTGCCGCTGGTGTTGTGTGTTGGAGTTAGCTGAAGAGATGCCGTCGTCCTTTATCCTGTCTTTCTTCTGGAGGAAGCCTCTGAGAGTCATGGCGCGCGTTCTCTTTCTTTGCTTTTTCTGCGATGTTTATGGCGGGGGTATTCAACCATAGAGATTTGTTAAGTGGATACACTAAATTCGATATATACAATAAAGTAATATAAATGATATCGCTGGTTATAGGATATCTTTATTCATTTGTTTTCAAGGGGAATAGAACTTGTCACAGATGTTGGAATATCTCCACCATAAACATTCATGTTCAGCTCTGGGATTTGTGGCTGTGTGAAGGAATCGGGGGCGAAGTAAATAAGTACGTCTGCAGAATAAGAAGAAACAAATAACGGGCTCGTGGTTCCTTACCTCAAATCAAGGAAATGATGGTGAGATATATAAATGGAGGAGTATGGAAGGGTTCGTAGATTAAGGGTTTACTGGAGAGAGAGCTTATTTAGAGAGCTTATTTAGTACAAGAAAATGCCGCTCTTTTTAACTTCATAACCGGGACAATTCTTTGTGCAGTGCTATAGCATACAACGAATCTGAGATTCAAACTGCTCCCCATGCCCTCTATAATGAAGATATGCGCTATAAGGAAAAGGACGCTGTAAACAAGAAAAGAATAAAAATTGCCCGAAACTGGCCAAACACCCGAAGATTCTCTCCATCAAGACAGGCTGTTATCAAAAAGACCAGCCCGATGACGCTGTGTGCTAGATACCTGTCGACATCTGAGATCCCCATGGCTCACCAGAAGGGCATTGCAAAGATCGAGGAAAGCTTGGATATGGTCGGGAAGAGCCAGAGCGTATGCATATTGGTGCTTGAAAGGAATCTTTGTTGCGAGGAGTCGCAGCCCCCGAGAGCTGCGGGCAACGGACCTGGCCAGACAAGAAAGCCATCGCTCGTCGCTCAGGAACTCAGCAAAGCGAGCTCTCCTTCTCTGCCGTACGTTTCGCTATTATTGAATCCGACCCTGCAGCAGCCTTCCGTGGCCTTGGACATTTCCAGGGTTGTGTTGACGCATTCCACCCCGTCCCCTCCCCAATTCCTTCCGAAAGTCATTGCATAAATCTCCAGCGCCGGCTTCCACTTCCCAGACACAGAGACTTTCCTTGAAGAGTCCAACAACATATCCCATGTTCGCCAGTTACTGCAGGTTCAGGTTCTTCTTCGCATCTCGTCTTTATAAACTGCCCTCGCTTTTATACTCTTATATACCCGGATGATGAACCACTGCCATCGCCATAATCATTCCATCGACATCAATACCACTCCAATTCCCCTTCCACCACCCAATATAAACTGCCTCTGAAAGCTGCTGGCATATCTAATTGTACTCAGTCCCCAACTTGCGAATCCAATTCCGAAAACGAAGTGAGATAACCGACGATGTTTGCTGTCCCAGTACAACCCTACTTCCCTATCAGCCCATTAGATATCAAGTATCAAGTGGTTCAAAGCCTAGGCAGAGAGGGGGGAGGTTTCAACGCGGGCATCGAAGTCGTCCGGCGCAGGGTAGATGGGCTGATCTGCGTCCGTAAAAATCTCGTCCTGAGGCCGCATTCTACGCCCCACCACTGGCAGATGGAGGCAAACATGATGAGCAGACTGAGCGGCCACCGAAACATCTGCACGTTGATCGAAGAATACATCTTGCTCGAGCGCGCCGAGCTATATATCGAGTACTGTGGAAAGGGCACCCTGCATGACTTCGCGACATACATGAAGAATCAGAACATTCAAGTCCCCGAGTCATTCGTGTGGCATATGCTGTTTGGGATAGTCGAGGCGCTGGGCTGGATGCACGGTGGCTTTGTTAGCGGATATGAGATGTTTCATGCCAACGTGTTGTGCTTGCAGGGATGGCTGCCTGTGGTGCATAGGGATATTAAGCCGGATAATTGTTTCCTCCAGTTTTCCCCGTACGGCCCTTTGGGATATCCAACGGTCAAATTAGGTGATTTCGGTCTGGCTATCCACGCGGGGGATCTCAGTGGACTTACTGAGTCGAGCGCGCGGCTCTGCGCTCCCGGATGGTACGCGCCCGAACACCCGAATTGTAGCGAATTCAGCGATGTTTACCGGGCTGCAACAGTAGCTCAGTTCCTGTGCTTGCCCGACGGGAACGTGGGTATCGCTAGGCAACTCCCAGGTAATTATAGTGTAGGCCTAAACAACTGCATTAGACTAGGGATGGAGGAAAACGTGCTCAATCGTCCACTTGCTGCAACGTTTTACAGGATCATGCATTCCCGGACCGACGTCAGTGGAGACTGGATTACAGTTCCCCCACAGGCATTCAAAGATCTTGGAGTATAGTTCGTCTATTTTACAGTCAGCAGGGAGGAGACAAAACGACTAAAGGTTCTTTTGAGACATATATATTATTGGTGACAAAAACGATAGAAAAGGAAGGATCAGCGGAGTTATTTCAACGACAAAAATAATGGTTTATATTGGGTTGAGGTTTTGTACACGGAGGTTGAAGGGGAGCTAGCTCTATGAAATTGATCAATAACTACTGGGGCTTAGCAGCAAAGATTCCTGCCGTTTATATGTTAGCAAAATGATTCTTATTCGAATAGATAGATTTGAAAGGGACTCCTCTCCCTGGATTTTAAATTTCAACTGCACTTACTCTCAACATCCGTTACGCTCTGTTGCAGAATCTGTTGAATGACCTTGGGGTTCTCCAACTCCTTCTGAACCTTGCTAATGACGGTCTGTGCCAATTCGCGTTGCTGGCGGACCTTAACCTGCCCCTCGTACTGCACCCATGAGTCAAGAACCCTTTTCGCCTCAGCGGCGAGAGCAGTGCGCTGCTCCAGCTCATAAGCCTGCGCCTCCAATCGAGCGGTTTCCTGTAAAGTTCCACATCAGCCATTATCCATTTTACGAGCCAACTGAAGGAGTAGTCCGCATACCTTGGACACCTCGAAAAGCGCCTTGGTGATATCAACGACGCTGCTCAATTGCTTGACGTTCTCAATCCTCTGCTTAACGGCATTGGTGTGATTGGCTCTAGCGCCATTGAGGATATCCTTCTGCTTCTGGATCTGGGTCTCGGCCCACTCCTTGTACATGGGTCCAGCCATCTTAGCCACACCGGTGAAGACACTGAGGAGACAGAATGCGGCGACGGTCTCCTCGCTGAAAACGTAGAGCTCATTGCTGATGGCGGCGATGGAGAGACCGGCTCCAGCGGAGAGAATGGCGGTCTTGGACACTAAGCTGTTGCCTGGAAGAGCATCGATGATGGATTGGGCCTTGGTTTTAGGGTCCTCGGTGGGCACATTGGACATGGACCTGGTTGATGTGAGAGTGGTGGTGGCAGCCGCTGGGATGGTGCGGGAAGAGAGGACCGGACGGACACGGGCGGCGGCGCCTGGGATTAATCAATTAATGGTAGTTCCAAAAGGCAGACTGGACACAACGCCATCGGGACACAGCAACATACCAATGGCACTCTTAGCCAATCTCGAAGCCATTGTGATGGGATGGGGGATGTGGAGAGCGGCGGTAGATTTGATATTGGGGGGTTGGATGCAGAATGGCCCAAGTCAAGTTTGATGGGAGGCTCGGGTGGGAGAGCGCACTAGGCTAACTCGGGATTAGCGGCACAAGGTTTCCCGACTTTCCATCAAAAATTTAATCAAAACGACGTAGAGTAAGGTACAATGAGAACAGAGCTGCAATAGAAGAGTGGCGTGCTATCTAGAGAGCTGTTTATATGCCTGCGGATATGCCAGGCCTACTGGACGGAGGCCACGTTTCTAAAAAGAGGAAGAAGGATGCTTCAGAGCACAAGGTGCAATCATCCAAGCGGAGAGCTGTTGCAGACGATGTTGAGGAAAAGGGAAGAATAGAACAGCTGGAGAACCAGATAGCAGAGTCGCGGAAGTACTATAACAATATTGTGACATTGCTGTCCCTTTTTATCACAGAAGATGCTACCAAATCACCCAATCTTACTGCAGCGCTCTCGCTGTGCAGGGTGTTCTGCCGGTTAATGGCCGGAGGGCAATTCAACAAATCCAAAGGTGCAAGTGAGCAGGATTTGATATTGGTTGCTTGGTTGAAGGAGAGGTATCAGGAGTATCAGCAAGGCTTGATTACCGTTCTGAAAAGGGCAGATCCATCCTCTCAAGTATGTCCCGTTTTTCCTGGAGGCAATTCTGCCATTCGAGGAATGCGACACTAACGAAATCTCCTAAATAGATTGCAGCGCTCACACTTTGCATGCGCCTAGTTAAAGAACAAACCATTAATGGAGGAGCTGGAGCCGAAATAGGCGTATGGAAGGGAGGCTATTTCAGTGACTTAATTGTCGCCCTCATTGAAATGCAAGATGGAGATCCGGTGCGGTCGGAGTTCATCAAAAAGTTCCTGAACAAATACCACGATGTCGCATTTTACACTCTTCTTCAGCTTTCGTAAGTCTTATATATATTATGTGGATTTCCGCAGCCTTTACTAACAACTGGCTTCTATAGAGATTATGCATCAAGCAAAAAATCCACCCAATTCCTCGACGTCGTCATATCACTCCTATCAGCCCTCGGTCAGCCTCCATCACCAGACCACGAGTTCGAGAACTTCTATTGCGGCCTGTCCAGCGTCGGCCAAAAGCACAAATCAACTCTTCTCTCTGTCTCATCCTACAAACAGCGCGCACAAGCCGCCTGGCTCGCCGTTTTGCGCAATAATACTCTCAACGAGTCCCAACGCAAAACCCTCCTACGGATGATGTCCCGCGCAATAGCCCCTTGGTTCCTCAAACCAGAGATGCTCATGGACTTTCTTACAGACTCCTACGGCCATGGCGGTTCAACCTCCCTCCTCGCACTCTCAGGCCTCTTTTACTTAATCCAAGAAAAGAACCTTGACTACCCCCAATTCTACCCAAAACTCTACTCCCTCCTAGACGCGAATCTGCTCCACTCCAAACACCGCTCCCGCTTCTTCCGCCTGCTGGACACTTTCCTCTCCTCCTCCCACCTCCCTGCAACACTTGTCGCCAGCTTTATAAAGCGACTAGCCCGACTCGCGCTCAACGCCCCACCAGCGGCCATCGTCGTGATTGTTCCTTGGACTTACAACCTGCTGAAGTCTCACCCAACCTGCACATTTATGCTGCATCGGGTCATGCGCGATGACTTGCAGTCAAACCCAAACCTGCAAGCGCACGGCATGCCCGACCCCTTTGACCCACTAGAACCAGATCCGACTCAGACCGGCGCGCTAGAAAGCAGTCTCTGGGAAATCCAAACTCTGCAATCGCATTACCATCCCAACGTGGCTTCGCTGGCAAAGATCATCTCCGAGCAGTTTACGAAGCAGGCGTATAACTTGGAGGATTTCTTGGATCATTCCTATCAGGGAATGGTGGAGATCGAGTTGGGGAAGGAGGAGAGGGAGTTGAAGAAAGTGCCTGTGGTGGAGTTTCAGATTCCGAAGAGGATTTTCACGGATCGGCTGTTGGAGGAGGATGGAGGGGTTGATGGGGAGGCTGGAACGTTGGTGAGGAGGTTGTGGGATTTTAACTGAGCGGGGATTAAACACAGGATGCACCAGATATGATACACGGACGTCTGTTTTTATTAGAGGGTTAATACACAATTGCCAACTCTCAAAAGACCCCGTCCCAAGTAGCTTAGAGAACACAAAACATGCACCCCATTGCAGAGTTTCGCTTCTCGTACAGATGTGCCCTTCCATTCTATTTCTTGTAGATTTGACCTCCTTAAGGCCACAGAACCTCAACATGGACAACATTAAAATGAGGTGAAAGTCGAATTCCAATTCGATTATTTATTACCATTAAAAGAAAGGCAAGTAACTCCCGTTATCCAGTCTAAACGCCGATGCCAGGAATGGAGACAGACAAACAGATGGTAAAAAGGGGGGAACATAATACCAATGGAATGCAAAAAGTATTATCAAAACAAAACTCCTGGTAAAAAAGAAAAAGGAAAAGTGATTTTTTTTCTTATCGCACTTATACCCAATGACAGAACGCAACTGGGAAAAGTCGGCCCCAATCCACAGCCATATCTATCTCATCACCATATCACCATCATTTTAAGGGATAATCTCAATTCCCATTTCTGAGAGGACCTCTTCTGACCATTCTCCCGTCGTGGCCGTTTCGTAGGACGGACACAGTTCCAACGCCTGCGGTTCCAGTTCATCTTCATTCACCAATTCTAGTTGTTCCGCGGCAGCTTGCTCTAGGGCGGACCGAAAGTCGCTGCTGAATCCAGGACGCAAGATCAATTGAGGGTCTGCACGAACATACTCTCGAGCTTCCGGTCGCGTAAGACTGAGTATATCACGTTCCTCCGCTTCTGGATCACCGGGATGATAATTGCCAGTGGGGTCCACGACGAAAATGGCGCGTTTCAGATCATTGAACAGGTCATCAGATATATCGACGGGGATGGCTTCAATACTTAGTCGCAAGTCTTCCAGAATAGCTGTGACATACCGTTCTCTGAGGTTTCGGTAGGCGACCGTCTCCTGCTCCATTAGCTGCCAGCATCGGATGATCTGCGCATCTGTAGTTGCCCTTTCGATATCCGCACCGATCTTGTAAGAGAGGTCGAAAAGCTCCTTCGCGATAGACCGGAAAACTTTATCGATTTTCGGAGCAACCCTGACGATCGTAGCACAGATTGCTCTGGCAAGTTCTGGATCGTATATTCTGTGCCAGAAAGCCACCCAGCTACTCATTCCGATTCTTGATTTCCGCATCCGTGTCAATTCTAGCGCAAGCAGAGTGGCACGGCAGTTGTTGAGAACGTATTTTGCATTCTTTCGCGCCTCGAGGACGGACGGTGGAACGGACGCATAAGCATTTAAACAGAGTGATCTGTCGACGATCTCTATGCCTGAATCCGCTGGTGAAACCGCACGACAAGCGATAGGATCGCTTTCATCTCTAAAGGAGGTATGACCTATCGAATTTGCCCTGGTGGCTTGTGGGATTGAACCGGTGCCCCGTTTCCCAGGAGTATTCTGTAGCCAGTCAAGGAGCGGGCTGGGTGTCTTCGACCCAGCAGTATGGTGGTCCTGTCGGCGAAATAGATAAGACATAAGAAGGCAAGGGACAGGCAGTGAAGTATAAAATGAATGTAGCGAAAGCAGAAGAATAAGAACAAAGTGGAGCAAATCCAAGTGAGCCTGAAAACCAGCCGCACAGAGCGAGAACAGAGACCCATTAAGCAAACTATGAAATAGCTAGAAATAGCTTCAAACGAATGGACAGCATAATCTGATTGGCGAGAAGAATAGATGAGACTAATAGAGATGCAATCATAGCGAGTCTTTTTTAAGCTGAAATCAAAGACAGACAAAATCTGCAAGTTGTTTTGGCCGGTTGGACTGGTTCTTCGTGGAAGGAGTATCTAGGTATTGGTCCCTCTTGGGCCTCTGAAATCAGAGAAAGTGCAGCACCCCAGCCATGGTCGGAGAAGGGACATTTAACCGGTAACAAAGCGGTGGGATGTGGGTACACGAGGGATACGGAGGATAGCTGCGGACCTTTGCTATGTTTTTTCAGTGCGTTTTGATTCAGATGTCCTCTGAAGTTGAATGTGGCTGAAGTGGTGACGTCATGTCCTATTTCTGGGAGATGATGAGATAAGCTTTGACTGTCAACAGGGAAAAAGCGAGAGACAAATTTCAACTGAAACATATATAAAAATAAAATGGTAAGACGAGCAAAAGAAGGGATTTAAAGGTAAGGGCCAGTTCTGACTAATAAAGCAGCGTACATTACTAATATACCACAGACTGGGAGCCACAGAATGTCCCTGCGTGGACACACACGAATACACACCTAACGAGGTCGGGTGGGGCATTGAGCGAGGCCGGGTCGTCTGCTTCCTGAGTCCCTCGCGTAGATATCTATATATATATATATATATATATGTGTGTGTGTGTGTGTGTGTGTTTGTATGGATTCGGTGTTTTTGGGTCCAATGAACGGCTTGGTTCAAGCTGTCATAAGGCTGGAGAGCCAATCAGTAACTAATTTAGCCCGAGGATGGGAGGGTAGTAGTTAACTATTGCAAGTAAAGCAATGTAATTGGTAGATGTAGAGACTGACGGATTGCAAAGACCGTCAGTTCGCGGACGTCGCAAGCCAGATATGTGGCAGAGAGTGGTGCCATTGTCTTTCAGCCTCAGGGAGTGGGCGGCTGTGATAGGGCATTAGCCCTTAACTGGTCAACTACCCTCTAAGAGGCGTCGTGGCTGCGTGTCTTTCCCCATCTTCGCGGGGAACGTCAACGAACGACACGCCCCGCTGCTCCAGACCGACAAGTAGGACTCTTGCCACCAGGAAAACAAGGAATAACGTGTGGTGCTTGTGCTCTTGCTGTGTTCCTCCGGTTGCGATTTGCCACCCCCTTGGCTGTTACTCCACGCATCCAAGCATCTAGACATCCCATACTTGAGTATATCATCCCACCCACCCCCAACCTTGATCTCCGGCGTAAACTATTACATATCCAAATGACTAATGGCGGCAGACCAATGAACGCTTACCCGACTTCAGAGGAAGACGACGAGCCTTCGTTTTGATTTATTCCTTTATGCCCTTCGGACTTTCGAAGATCCCCAAATCCTCGTCTGCCGCTGTATGGTGAGTGATCTCGAAGTCATGACTGGAAACCTGTGTTTTCGTGCCCCGTTTTTTCTAACCTACGTACTCTCGTTCTAGGCTTAGTGACCAGAAGCAGTCTTGCTCTCAACCCACTTGAGAGCCCAAGAGTTTTTCTGAATGAAGCTTGTCTGGAATTTTTCGAGTGTCAAAAATTTCCATGCATTTTCTTCATTCCGAAGTCCTACGATAACTATCACCCAACGCGATCACAAGCCTCGAAACGGTTCCAGGACAACAACCATGCTAGTTTCTATCAAACAATCCATGTCCCCATGTGGCGGGTGTTGTGAACCGGAGCTTGGCAAAGTGGATGCCAGATTATCTAGCTAGGGTCCTCTCATAAACTAACCATCCATTCGCCTTGGAGCATGACGTTGTGAGTGTGGTGAATCACCTAACCGAAATCCACAACTATATATGTCGTGTCACGTGATGAGGTAGCCCCGCGGTTGTTCCACCCAAACAGTTCTCTTAGGCTATGAACCTAGTTTATGACCTCATCCGCACAACCAAATTCTATTCCCCTGTTTTTGAAACCAAAACACAACAAAACAAAAGTAACGTGGAAATACTGAGAAATGAGAAAAACTCCGACAAAAATAATTTCAGAGGGAAACGAAAAGAGGAGTTTGCCAATTGAAGAGGAAGAAGGAAAATGTCCACAATTGATATCACAAGGGACTTATCGGCGCTCTTTATTGAACAGGTGCATGTGACGCCTAACGCTGTTGCTCTAGAGGACGCAAAAAACCAATACACCTATTCTGAGCTGGATAACAAGGTCTCAGAGCTTGCTCTTCGTCTCCGCAAGCACGGCGTTGGTAGAAACTGCCTTGTTGGCGTGCTCCTTGGCCGCAGCGCCGACTATGTGATTGCCTGCCTGGCTGCCCTTCGTGCCGGTGGAGCTTTTCTTGTTCTCGAACTTGCGTACCCTCCAAATCTTCTTGCCGATGTCCTCGATGATTCGAACCCAACTGTTGTAATCACGAATCAGTGTCAGGCCGGAAAAATCGACGCTCGCATCCCGTTAATTGTCTTTGATGAACAAACAACAACAGAACCCCCCCTGGACGTTAAAGAGCTCCCCCCATTGCCTGCAGACAATGATTTGGAACGATATGCTTTCGTATCTTATTCGTCCGGAACTACTGGGCGGCCTAAGGGAATCGTAAATTCACATAGGGCACCCGTACTGTCATACAACCTCAGATTCGGTATTTCTGATCTTCAACCAGGTGACCGTGTGGCCTGCAATGTCTTCTTTATCTGGGAAATCCTGCGCCCGCTTTTGCGAGGCGCAACAGTTGTTGCAGTTCCAGACGATGTGAGCTATGATCCGGCTGCCCTGGTTGACCTCCTCTCCACAAAGCGCATCACGGAAACCCTCATGACACCCACGCTTCTGGCTGCAGTCCTCTCAAGACATCCAGCCCTTGGAGCACGTCTCCCAGATCTACGCACTCTGTGGCTTAACGGTGAAGTCGTCACCACTGACTTAGCCCGTAGAGCAATCAAAACCCTTCCAAACACGCGGTTGTTGAATTGCTACAGTGCCTGCGAAACCCATGAGATCGCTTGCGGAGATATCAGAGACATGCTTGATAACGAAGCCCTGTACTGCCCTGTTGGGCCGCCATTATGCCCAAAGGAAACGTATGTTCTTGGTGAAGACGGTCAGCGTGTGGAACCCGGGGTTAGTGGAGAGCTTTTCATTGGTGGACCACTGCTGGCACAAGGATATATTAACCGTCCTGAAACTACTGCCAAAGCTTTCGTCCCAAACCCATTTGATACAGCACCTGGCTCTGTAATGTACAGAACCGGAGATGTCGCTAGGCTCCTTCCCTCAGGGCTTCTGGAAATTAGCGGTCGCGTTGGGGCTATGATCAAGCTCCGCGGTTATTCAGTCGTTCCAGGAAAGGTGGAAAATGCTATAGTCAATCACCTTGCAGTCAGGGACTGTACTGTGATAGCCCACGGTGAAGGTTTGGAAAGGCAACTGGTAGCATACATTGTCCGTGATAAAGAAAACTCCCTAGGACACCCAACTGTAGAAATCAACGAATCAGGACACAGTCCAGCAGCACGGCGAATTCTTTCTCCATATTTGGCTCACTACATGATTCCAGTCTTATGGGTTGAACTAGAGGAGCTACCCACTCATGAGGTCTCAGGTAAAGCCAACCTTAAACGTCTTCCGCCTCCTCCGGCACCCAAACCGATAACAAACGGACACAAGATTGAAAAAGACCCAATCACCGTCGACGCTATTGCTGAATTTTGGGCCGCAGTTCTTAAAATAGCACCAAGTGCTATAACCCCAGAACACAGCTTTTTCGATTTGGGTGGACATTCCCTATCAATCGCAGATCTTGCTTCGAGGCTATCGAAAAACTTTGGTTTCCACATCCCACCTGGCCGTCTTGTGGACCCGCCAACGCTCGGTGGTCATTTGGAACTTATACGTGCTGTAAGAGACGGACATACTGCGGCATTGCAAGCAGATTTGCCAGCTGTTCTCCGTGCAGATTCCACTCTTGAGGAGAACCTTCGGCCTTCTGGTGCAAAGATATGCTCACTCTCCGAAGCAAATACAGTTTTCCTCACAGGTGCCACTGGCTTTTTGGGAGCTTTCCTCCTCCATGACATATTGGAAACCACTTCCGCCAAAATTATATGCCTTGTACGTTTCAACGATCCTTCGGGGGAAGATGGTCCTAGCGGCGTGGCCAGAATACGCAGGAATCTCCTTGATCTGGGCCTATGGCGGGACTCGATTATGGAACGCGTTGAGATCCTTCCTGGGAATCTATCTCGGAAACGTTTCGGTCTGTCTCCCGAGGCCTTCGAAGCGCTTGCTACTCGTGTTCAGGTCATCATCCACGCCGCTGCCACTGTCAACCTTGTATACCCATATGCTGCACTACGTGGCGCCAATGTAGGCGGAACAAGGGAGATACTTCGCCTAGCTTGTTTTTCCGGCGCTACAGTACAATATGTGTCCACTAACGGAGTTTTACCGCCCTCTCAAAAAGGCTGGCCTGAAGATGCTATGCTTGACGTATCCGAAGTTCCAGAGAAGCTGCATGACGGATACGGCCAGACAAAATGGGTGGCAGAACAGCTTGTGCTCGAAGCTGGTCGTCGAGGTCTACCGGTGAGGATATTTCGAGCAGGCACAATTAGCGGTCACAGCACTACAGGTGCAGGTAACGCATGGGATCTCTTATCTGCATTAATTGTAGAATCAATACATATCGGCTATGCTCCTGATGTGGAGGGCTGGCGGGCGGAAATGACTCCGGTAGATTTTGTCAGCAGAGCCATAATCCATCTTTCCAATCAGACCCACGCCAATCGGGTTATTTTTCATCTCGGCGATCCAAACCCCGTCGACGCCCGAACAGTATTTGATAACCTCAAGGACCTCGGATACCCCACCCAAAAGATAGGATGGGATGAATGGGTTGCATTGTGGAATGAGAAAAGGGGTTCTTCCAGAGGCGGTGATGGGGCTTTTACTGTCGACATCCTTCGCAGTGGCATGCCAACTGTCGAGTTCCTCAGGCGCATTGTGGTGCTGAACAACGTTGAAACCAGATTTTTTCATGGCGAAGTTGAACGCCCAAAGGTTGATATTGTGTTGCTCGAAACATACACTCGCCATTGGTTTGCTCGAGGATGGCTCCCACGCCCTTCATCCCGTAAACATTGTTTCAACGGGACTGTACAACCTGCACACAAGAGACCATTAAGTGGACGTGTAGCAGTGGTCACCGGTGCATCCTCCGGTATTGGCGCGGCCGTTGCTGCGGCGCTGGCACGAGAGGGTGCACACGTTGCTCTGGGTGCACGACGCACTAAAGCGCTTGAAGCTATCAAGAGCACTCTCCCCCTCCGCGACAACAAAGCCATCATCCGCCAAACTGACGTAACAGACAAGGCACAGGTCGAAGCGCTAGTCCACGCAGCCGATGAAGAGCTTGGTCCGGTTGATATTCTCGTGGCATGTGCTGGAGTCATGTACTTCACGATGATGGCGAACACGCACATTGAGGAGTGGGATCGGACTGTCGACGTAAATTGTAAGGGTCTCCTCCACTGTCTCGCGGCCACCGTACCATCGATGCTTTCACGCGGAAGCGGTCACATTGTCGCCATATCGTCCGATGCAGGGCGTAAAGTCTTCCCTGGCCTAAGCGTCTATTCTGCCAGCAAGTTCTTTGTCGAGGCCACGCTGCAGGGCCTGCGACTGGAGACTGCCGGAAAAGGCCTGCGTGTCACGAGCGTACAGCCAGGAAATACCGCTACTGATCTCTTGGAGATGTCCACGGATGCTGAAGCCGTCAAAAAATATGGTGAGCCGTCCGGAGCACAGATTTTGTATCCGGAAGATGTGGCAAATTCGATTGTTTATGCGCTACGACAGCCTCCGCATGTCGCCGTAAACGAAGTACTTATTGAACCTCGTGACGAGCCAATATAGCATTAAGGGGCAGAAGAAAAGAAGGAAGAGAAGTGGTTTTTCAACCAGTCGATATCTATCCTGATTCAAGGCGAGAAGAAGCAGAAGAAGCAGAAGCAGGCGGAGGAATATGATGTCCCCGTTCAAGTCTATTGTTCTTTCAACAAAACTGACATAAAACCAGCCAAATTCCCATCCAACTACCCATCCATTCAACATTTGTTAATAGTTTTGTTTCGAGATTCAAGCTGGTTAAAAATCTCGCACATTTAACATTTCTCCAGGGTCTCTGTTCCCTGTAAACCCCACCTCCTCTTTCCTTGCGTAAGTGACCTCTCACTAGACGTTGATCGTTTCTCCAGCGCTTAATCTTTTAACACCAATTCTGGGAGAGCAAAAATCTGTCACAGTTATATAGACATATAGAACTTTCTTAAACCAGTCATTCATCACCGTCTTCTATTATCATTTTGGACGTATAATTAAAACGAACTTCAAAGAATCTTGTGTTGCGGAAGTCGAAGCGAGTACAGTACTAACGAAGGAAAATCATGACCAACCTATACAAAATTCTTGCCAGAGACAAATATGAAATGAATGATCCTCAAACGAATGAAAACAAACGGAAAACCGGAAGCAAATGAATACATAAATATATATATATAAAATAAAGGACCGGTTCAGTGCGTAACTCAACAAGGGAACGAGCAATCCATCTGTCGAGTGCGGTGCCCTAGGTCTGGGTGGGTACCCATGAGGCACATCGCGCTTAACCCCCTCGGATCCCACCCTCCCTGAGCGCAGTTCGCAGACCCAGACTTGGTTCTGCTATTCCAGTGAGACCCGCCATAATCGAACTGCACTTCATTCTCGTTCTTGGCTTTGACGAGAAGCACGTACGGCAGCTTGCTTGTCATTTCGAAAGGCGACTTTCCATTGATCTGTGGGCCTAGTCCCTTGTTCAACTTAGCATCTGTTTGACCAACGACAACCTTGTTATTATCCAACAGTTTGATCGAAGCATACAGCTGAGCGGGATTGGTGCACTTGTAGGTCTCGATGAGATGGAATGAGCATGTTCCTTTCGCATATCTAGGTTTTCCCACCAACGTCGAAGCCTTGAAGGCTCTGGGGGAGATGGCTTTCGACCTCCGACTCTTCCCGTTTAACGGGGTCATCGACCAATTGAACGTGCCGCATTTCCTTGGCATGATAGAGCCGACACGGGCGTGTTGATCATTTAAGTTAGTGCCTGTTCTCCATCATCAGTGACATCCTGTTGTCTTGTTATGCTAAGCATATAGTATATAATCTGAAGATGAAATCTTACATTTCTTCCACCCCTTATTGTACGCATCTAGGCAATCAGCAGCAGAGCAACTCCCTGGCCCAGGGAAATATGAAAAGATGTACTTCCTCGTGAAGCCCCTGTAGGTGCTCTGCTGTAATTTATCAAATTGATGACCCATGCAAAACTGTTGGACCTTAAATTTGAACAATAGATCCCCAACAATCCAAGGACTATTTGGCGAGCAAAAATACTCCATGTCTGAAGCTCTTGAAGTTATTGGAAACGACGTCCTTTGTGCAAGACTATGTGATTCCTGTGTATTCTCTTGGCTATCGATATTCTCGAAAAGGTCACCCAAGTCCTGCTTCTGGGACGGGTCTGTGAACGTGTCTGGTAGGATGTTTTCCAGAGTGTCTACAGCACGGGTGGGGAGGTCGTGTGAGGGGATTCCATATGGCTCGCTGGAAAGCCCGGTGTCGGCGGCAGGCAAGGCAAGAACAGACTTGGCTAAAAGGAGATAGAAGCAGAGAGTGAGTGAAAGATGAATAACCATTGTTAATACCGAGCAGAGGTTAATGTCTGAAGAGTGATTTGATTGATGACGAGACCCAGTGTTCATTGAGCAGCTCGAAGCTATCCCTTTTTATATATCTCCAATTTCCAGATCCCAACGGTTTCCATCACCTCTGTGTTTATTTCTTCTGAGAGCTTTTCTGTTTATAGAACAGCGGTCAAATTTAGCATTCAGGGACCTATTAGAAATTAACTGGGCCAGGGTCCGGCGGCAGGTTATTGGAACACCATGCTATCATCCGGAACTCAAGTTGCGGAAACCCATGTCGAACTGCAAAAAATCTGGCTTAGCAGGATGTTCCCCCAACCGTCAGCGGAGTGCCCTGTCCATGTCACTTCGGCTTGTGCATTAGATCCAGGAATCCAAAGATTATCCAAAGGCTGGGCAGGTCAGAAACGAGCCAGCGTTGTAGGGAGAACACTACTTGAAAATAGTCGACCTCAAGGTCCTGACCTTTCGGTATAGGTAGTTATACATGGTGAATCGCCTTACATGGTTTGTTTAATCGCCGCTTTCTGGACTATATACATCCTCCCGCCGCTCGACCATCTTTGTCTCCATCATCCCTATTTTTTCCATTTTCTTTCCTCGTAATTCTCTTTGTCTCGTATGTGCTGTACCCACCCTTTCCCCTTGGCCCCCGCTGCCAGTGTCACCCGGCCTGGCTGTGTCAAAGATTATCTGAATCGCTAATGTAGCATCAACTTGAGCTGTATTCTATGCATCTATCTTCTAACTGACTGCTGGTAAAATAGGTGGTAAGCAACAGAAACGTGTCTGACTAAGCGACTAGTATAACTACTTAACTACGGAGTACGGAGTACATGGATCATTTGACACTCTGTTGCAGCTGAAACTGTTCTTGACATGGTGACCATGTCCAACTTCTCTTCTTCCCTGATGCAATTTCACCTCCCTCTAACTGTCAAGTTACTCTATAATTATGTACAGACTGAGCCCCTGCCCCCTTAACAGGTGAGGTCGTCCTGTCTTATGAGGGCCATCGGGAGAGAGAAAGCACGCATCCTGTGGATCGTTGCATGCTTCATCCTCCATTGCCTGGATTGACTGGAAAGGGCACTATTCGATTAAAGGTTGATGGACCTGTCAGAACAGGAGATCAACACAGTGCTCAACTTGTTACCGTCCACATGGTCGATAAGACTCCAGAGATATCAGACTCGATACCAACTGATAAGTATCTAGTCGCTAAGCTCTACGATCCCCTTTACTTTGACCATGAGCAAGATGATGTGGATCCTTTTCGCTATACGGACCTAGCATACTCTCATGAAACCGCAGCCTACCGACTGCTCTGTCCACTTGAAGGAACCGTCATTCCAAGATATTATGGGTCCTTTACACTTTAGCTGCCAATTCCGAATAAAAGAACTTCGCGATCTATCCGGTTAATCCTTATCGAACAAGTACCTGGCGGGATCTCAATGCGATGTCTCAATCCAACCAACTATACGCAGTCAGAGCGTCAAAATATTTTGAAGGCAATTGTCGATGCGGAATCTATGCTGTATACTCATGATATATTACATAGAGATATACACCCGAGGAATGTTCTTGTGCTGGACAGCGCTCATCGGCGTGTGTTACTCATCGACTTTGGATATTGCGGGATTGGTCGAACTCCCTTCTAACAGCCCTGCTGAGTGGAAAGCCAAATATCTTCCCGGTGTTCCCATATCTCCTTTGCTGCGCTGGGATCAGGGATGGGGCAATCATGCGAATTTTCATGAATGGATTGACTGGGACTGGCAAACTTGGCTTGAGCACTGTTATGAATCCACAAGAGCATCCATAACAGAACACATGCGGTCCATTTGGCTTCCAAAAATACCTTGTATATCACCGCCTCCACGTCCATCGGTATCTTCAGTGTGTTTCCCCGCACCTTTGCCGTTCTCCGGTTCCTAGAATTCTGACGTGCCCCTTTTTATCGACTAAAACAAGAAGAACAAATAAGCAGATGGCCCGTGGTCTGGACTTGAATATCGATGCATGCGTTTTGCCCAACTCTCTATGGTTTATGTGCTATCATTTTCCACAGGATATGTGAAGAGGGGAGGCCCGGTGGTGCCACCTTCATTTTGGGATAACTGTAGAGGATCACGGCTCCTCATCATAAATCAAACCCGCGTTCCAAGTGCGCGACATCCTCCCATCTTGACAGCCACTCTCCCTGCCTTCCTACCTGCCCATGAAGCAGACGGAATTCGAGCTGCCACCAGCACAGATCCATCTGCTCGTGAAGCTTCTGATTTGGCCCACCTCGGACGCCCTGGAGAAGATCAAGCAGGAGGATCGTGCCTGTCTCTCTCGGAGGAGAAGAAGTGCCGGTATCTGAGTGAAGTGGATCTAACTTGCCTAACCAGTCAGTCTAGTGCCAAGGGTACAGCACCGAAATGGAACATATTGTATTATTTTTATGTGGATTCAAACAGGCCCAACCCCGGGTCGGAAGTGTCGAGAGTTATGCGACGAAACTCCGATCATTATTATGCTATTCTTGTGACTTTGATCAACCCCAAAAAGGAAAGCTGCCCTGGTGCAAGTTATGGTTTCCATCTGTGCACGACAGGCCCTATTTATCATCAATTCAGACACCGAGTCTTATTACCCGCTGTATCACCTTGAACAATGGAGCCAACTCTCTGCTTCTTGGAATGTCTACTAAGAATCTGAGACTCTCCTCCGCCTTCTTCGGTTGTATCCGCGAAGCTCCATTGCGCGTCTTGATACTCTGTTTCATCAGATAATGTCAACACATCAGAGCCATCCAAGGTAAGGGCGGCCTCGGAAGCCATCTGGCACTGAGAAGTAGAATGGAGAAGTTGAGATTGAGCCTCTTAAGTGCCTTTCATTTGTTGCCCTTATAAATTTGTCCCTATTGCACTGTCAATTAGAGCTCGTTCAACGGCTTTGACACGCTTCGGGGTTCGCGCGCCTTGCGAACATGCCCCAAATACCAGCTATCATGTGACATCTAGCTTCGCATCTTTCCGTAGCTTCTCGTAGCAAATCTTATGCCAAATCCCGCATTTTCTGGTGTGCTTTATATCACTGTAGATCTACAGCTAATGCAAACCAGTTCCTTGACAGGTCAGGCACCAATCTGGACCACACATTTCGCCCCTTTCATCAAGACCCTGTGTCCGGAAAGAACCTCAGATCAAGCACATTAGCCCAATGACGCAGCTTCATTTGGCCGCACCCGTATGCCCTAGTTTAGCCGGCATTATTTATAGAATCCAGGGATCAATTTGAACCGCCCTCCAACTGGTCTTTCGTACGTATGCACCTAGGTGCAGTTATTCCAGGTTACAAGCCATTCATTCGGCATCGGTAGGCGGATCAGGCCTCAAATGCCAAAAATTCACATCTCACCCCTGAGTATGAATATGCGGACCGGAGACTGCCATCGCATAACTATCGATATACAGCCTTATTAAGAAGCATAACGAGGGAAATTAGTGGTGCTTGCGGGCCTCAGTAGCCCACAAAGAGGCTCCAGTCCGGTCAAAAGCCTGGAGTATTTGACTAATTTTCAAGGGTTCGGGAGGGTGAAGAGTCTATTTTCTGATAAAGATGATGACAGCAGAGGAAATCGGGGTCGGCAGTTGAAGAGAAGTGAACAAGTCAACTTACCAACTTACCAACTAATAACAAGGCTGAGGACAAGGTCCAATTTTTTTTTTTTTTTTTTTTTTTTTTTTTTTTTTTAATATATGTCCAGGGAATCAGGGTGCCAGCAATGGATAATGAAACGATCGAACCTGCATAAAACAGCGTGAGAGGTCAATGAAATTGTTACTCTGAGTTAATTAGCACCAAGGAGAACTCCGCGTACACACCAAATGTGGATTTCCAAGTTCCAATAGCTCAGCTGCCTGATAGAACTCCAGAGTAGTTGAACAAAGCCCCCAGACTATTTTTGTTTTGCGACCTTTTTGTTAGTGCGCCTTCAGGGGCTGGCAGAGGAGTGGATCATTGGGTGTTAGGTTGTATCCAGGCTTGTCCTTGTCATCAGCAGTCAGTGAGTAATATCGTCACTGACACCTCGTGCAAGCATGGATGAACCCGCTGATTTCTGCACAAACCCGCCTTTATCTCCGGGCGGATTTGTCCAAGGGCAAGTTAGCAAGTTACCAATTAATTGTCAGGAAGTAAATCTCATAATAATGAATGATGTCTGCTGGGAAAAAAGAAAAGAAAAAAAAAAACCCCGCCTTCCCGTGGAGCTGGGTCCCCCTCCAGAATCTCCCCATCGTTGCCTGATCACAGAGCGCGAGAACAGACTCACCTGGCACCTGGTATCTCGTGGGTTGAAAACTCATTTTACTCTTTTCACATCACTTTCAATACTTCTGCCTCCTTGTCCCGGACCAGTTTATTTAATAAGTGTCTGCTGACTCGCTGCGCAGAGACATGGAACTCCATTTTCCAAGAACTCCCATTCGCGCCGTTGCCGCTGGAGACCTTATTAAGATACGTCTCTGGACATGGCATCGTGCACCAAAGAGCCTGCATCTGTATTCAGTCTCAAGTTCAAAAGACACTCCAAACAAAGACCTGCGCAACCACTATTTTGCTCCGTGCATTGAAGCCAGAACAGAGCAATCCTCGTCACTCTCCAACAAGATATACTATTTGCATTCATAGATGCCCGTCTCAAGACCTGTCAGACCTTCAACGGAGGTCGAATCATAGCCTCACTACTGTTAGCCGCAGGCGCAAATATCAACAGCGGTCAATTTATTCCGACCCGACTCCGCTGATGCATGCCGTTCGAGCCGACCAACCTCAGGTGGTCAGGTTTTCCACTGGGGTGGTGTGCGGTGGATGAGGCGGGCACATTGTCCTACAACACGGTCGCTGTGCGGGCGTCCTGGAAGTTCCTGTTGGACGTTGGGCGTCTGAAATATCTAAGAGCGAAATTCGTCGTATGGGTTTATGCCGCTGCTTCCAATGGCGTACGGATTCGGGCCGTTTTCTCCTTGACAGAGGAGCGGATATATATGTCCGATCGAATCGCGATCGGAAGACGGTGCTCGATGTCATGTGTTCGCATTTCAAGCACCACCACCCTATGCTAAGTGGCTGCACTGTGCATTGAAAAAGGGTGCGGACGACATACGAGGGACAGCCCGGGTTGGACTCCGCTACATGTGACTGCGACCCGTGGATCAACGCTGCTTCATGTGGCATCGGAGATGGGTCGTAGGTCCACAGCCAGCAGTTCTTTCTGCAACATAGCACACGACATATGAGACGGGATGCCTACACCCGCTTTTAAACCAGAATGCAATATGATATGGAGCAAATAGACTTGAGGGATTATATTGAACCATGCGAAAAATGTGAAAGGTGCCCGTTGAGTAATGGCGACAGGTAGGGCCTGCCTGCCCCATTCTTTCATCACTGAGCATGCCGTTGTTCCAGACGAACAGGCTTTTGGTATCATTCCATACAGTCCGTAAGACAGGGTAGCAGGCGGCGCATGAGCTGGTTTTGTATCGCCCAGGGATTAACTACAAGGACAAAGCCCTCGCAGGGCCGGGCGGAAACAAGAATGACTCTGCTTACTATGGATCCATTAATAGTAGTAGTATGGAACCTTCAGATCATTTTTGACATGATCTCAAAGCTTCCCGAACTTCTGAGTTTAAGCCAAATAATAAAGGAGTGATGATTCCTGTCAAACCCAACCGCTGCGGCTAGGCTAACAAAACCGTCCTTGGAGGCGATCCCAGCCTCTCTGATGCATATATATATAGATGCTCTTTGACAGTACGTACTCCGTAGTTGATTCCATAATATTTCTCAGACCCTTGTCTTTAATTAACTCTAATCCTCATTGACCCGTAACCCTAGCGTTACGGACTATAATTACTTAGCTGCATATTCCTGATATAGTTCAATCTATAACCTCATCAAGAATTAGGGGCTAGGGGTTAGGGTTAGGGTTAGGGTTAGGGTTAGTTAAGGGTAAGGACCTGAGAAATAGGGTTAATATCACCACCGTCAAGAGCATAGGATGAGCGTTGAGGTATTATGACTTGTTAGCGCATTTAGTCTTCATGTCTTCTGATCTTGGTCCGAATGTTTCGATTAACCGTTGCCCCAGCAGCCGCACCACTGCGGCGGATACGGTTTGACCACCCTCCCATCCAATACAAGACGATTTTTCCAGCCGAATTTTGAAAACCACATCCAACTTTTCCCGGAGGGGGTGGAACAACCAGAACAAGAAGATGGATTTCAAGGGTTTCTGTGCAGGATCTCGGATTCCATGTTCTTGACAATAAAACAACACGATAACAAAAGATGTTTCCTTCTTTCACCGGACTCTGGAAGTGATTCAATCGGGGGCATCATTAGGATGACCCTTCCAGTCTCCACAATCCCCACCACATTGTTCGCATCTCGATTTTCCCAGCCGCAGCAGCATCGCGTCCGTCCCGCACAACAACCCCTCGTCTAGATGCAGAGAATTGCAGCCATGCTGCGCTACGAACGGTGTGTGCTGCCAGGCTTTCAAGCACGGCGGATATTCAAGAGCACACACCCTTGTCCTTGTCCACCTATTTTTATCTCACGATTCTGTCATGGCATATCACGCTGATGGAAGGTCAACTGCTTTTGTGTGTTCTCTCGCGGAAATTACATGTCTCTTAACGATTAGAACAAATCAATGGTTGTTTTGAGAGATTTTTATTTATTTTGTTTTCTTTGTTTTTCCCCGCTTGCAAGAGTTAAAAACAAACGAGCGAATACGCCTCCCAGGGGCCAACTCCCCCCCCCGAATCGTCAACGGTTCTAACTCAAAACAGCCCATGAGCTGCAGATTTTGCAGAGACAGCCCAAATCTCCCGAGCGATTGATCCGCGGTCCAAACATTGAGTATTTTTTTGCCCGAATCGAATCCTACGTCTTTTTCTACTCCGTAGGGGATGGATCCCTGGTTCTTCAACCCGCTGCCCATGCGCCCCGGCCAGGTTATTTTTGAAGTTATTTCAAGCGATCAACCCCATTGCTCTCTCTACACACGGGTGTCTGTTCCCGTCATCTTAACATCTTCCCTCACAGAGAGACTGAAACCGCCACAAATCACAGCATGGAACGGACTGCCCAATCATACACAGAATGGGTCCGATCCTTGCATTGCGATGGAGTGCTTGGCTGGGTGCCAAGTTGCCCGGACAATTACCGGCTCACCTCTCTGGTCGTCAGCAACAGTTCATTCTTGTGCTGCGGGTCAGCTAGACCAAGAAGAGCGATGATGGTCCATAGGTGACAGGGGGGGAGCCCAGCACATCAAGCGAACCCTGTAGGAGTTTGTTGGTTTGTTGACCAGTTGAGATCAGGGATTCAGTGCTGCTTGGGGGGGGGGGATTCGTGTGGCTGGACTGCGAGCACTGCCCAAGCCATCTAACTCGCCTTCTGCTCCTGTTTCTCTGTCTGACTCTTTCTCTTGTTATGTTTCTTATTTCTTCCTCGCTGCAGGTTTCCGTTCTTTTATTCATTTCATTTCACATCTACTCACCCTGTGTTGCTTTGGGAATTTCATTCCTTAGATCTTCTTCCACCTTCAGTTATTCGTACATACGTACATATATTCGGGCTCGTTCCAAGCAAATAAGTCAAGATACCTGAGACACAAATCCACAGATCCACACAACAATCATAATGCATCTGGTTAAGGCTCTCGTTGCGAGTGCTCTCCTGGTGGCCGCCGCCGTTGCCCAAGGCATCTCCTTCACCAGCTTTCCCGACAAGGTCCAAGTCGGCGATCCTGTAACTGTCACCTGGACTGGCGGTACTGGTGCTGTATGTTTAGAAAGTGTTCTCATCTTCGAGATACAGAGCCAATTGCTAATCATATTCATCTAGCCCGTCACCATCACTCTGCGCAGGGGACCCAGGGAAGACCTGAAGGACGTTCAAATCTTGACCAGTACGAGCATCCATTATCCATCCTCAACCCGCCATCTACTAACAATATGCAACCACAGCCTCCGGTAAGGGCGGCTCCTTCACCTGGACCCCTGGTTCCGAGCTCGAAAATGGCAACAACTACGCCCTGCAGATCTCCCAGGGCACCGATGTCAACTACGGCTCCCTCTTCTCTATCAGCGGCGGCTCTGGCACCGGCGATGACAAGACCACCTCCTCTTCTGTCACTACCTCTCAAACCACGAGTCTCAGCCGTTCCGCCAGCACCCCAGCCACCACCACCACCCACGCGCCATCGACCGGAACCCCAAGCGGCTACCCAACCGCTTCTCTCAACAGGACCACCACTGCTGGCCCACGTACCCGCACCACCTCCGTGATCATCACCCCTTCCGGCCCCAAGTCTGCTCCTCCCACACCCACGCCAACCACTGGTGGCGCTGCGGTGATGAGCAGCTCGTTCGCGCTGATCATGGGTGTGTTGGCAGCGTTTGCATATTTGAATTGAGTTAACCCGTATTGATTTATTAATTAATTATTAATTGACTTTTTTTTTTCTGTTCATTGGAAAATTTTTTGTTTAATTTCTAAGATTGTTCATTTGGAGAGTTGTTTAAATTTTTAGTTTTTTTTTTGGTGTGGATGTTTTTACCTTCTTTTTCCAGGGTAAGGGAGTTTGAGAATGTGGGGAGGAGGAGATGGTGAGCGAGAACGAGGCGGCTATACCCTTCCTTCACTGACAGAGAAAAGCAAAACGAGCAAAAATTATATAGCTGTGTTTCTATTTGAACGCTGTCTTGTACCTCTATCCTGTCTACCTACTCTTTGCCTACTCTTCTGCCTCTTTTCCTCGAGAGATTATCTCCCGATGGTCTCTGCACACCGCCTCGTCTTGTCGTTTCACCTGCGTATGAACAGTTTTTGGAACCTGAAGCGGTGCCCGCTACATGCAACTGTCGTACAACCAAATACGACATGTGGGAATCTCAGAGCAGTGGAATGGGATAGGGTTACGGAGGACGTGCTTGTGCTGAGAGTTCGAAACTGGTTGGGAAGAGACGGCGATGAAATAAGGATGCTCCGCTCTGCCAGGATGGCTGGCTGGCCGGCTGGTTTATATCTCCGCACTGCATATGTAAAATAGTCGATACCTCATCCATCAGGAGTCCCAGGAATTCAATCAGAGTTATATATATATCTCTTTTACTGGAGAGTGGTAAGGGGGTGGTGCAGCTGCTTCTCTTTCACTGGTTTTTGTTGTACTGTTCTTGACTGTCCCATGATGGATTTTATGTATCATATATATTGTCCCCCCCTTGGCTCTGACATGCTCTGTTTACATTACACACATCCAAGCATTGACAGCTGGGCAAATTCCCAATTAAACAGAAGTATGACATTTCCCTACACGAATATGGGGTATCTTCCGTAGGTGATACCATGTACCTGCGCAACCCTACTTCCTCATATCTTTCCCCCCTCCCCCGTTTTTACTGTATAGGAATGGCGCCCTGAAAACTGGAAGTGTGAAAACCATATACCATGAAAAAGTTGAGGAACTCATAGGTGGGATCACGAGAAGAAAACCCTACTTAAATCGCCCTTGAAGAAGATGTCGGGATGTTTAATCGTAAGGTAAAGCATGGGTTCAATGTGTGTAATGTAGTGGTACAATACATACATGCCGAAGTGACTCGGGGTAACTACCTATTTATACACATGTAGATATACTGCATATACCCCGTGCATTTCTGTGCTGGAATAAGCTACCTGGCTTGCAGGAGAACGAGAGAACTGGAGAACGGGCGGGGAATTTGGATTTCTGGGGACGGGAAAGGGGCTTTAGGTTTTACCCTTTGAAGATGAGACTTTGTGGTAGCCCCAGATTGTTTTGTTTGATCTGCGTGGGAAGTAGATCAAGCCCAAATGGCAGAAGTACCAATCAACGATCATACAGAGAATCAAGGAATCTGATAGCAGTGTAAAAGATAACGATGTACGGTATATATGCTGTTTGTGCACTAAATAGATCGAAACTCCCAAAGAAATTCTTCACAAACAGGCTGTAGTTAATTTTAGTATCATTCCCGTACGTCTTTTGATTTTGCGTGGATGCTGACATCATGAAAGACGCATTTGGGTTGCCAGATTCTTTCTTTCTGGTTTTTCTACCTTTTTTTCTTCTTTTTTTTCTTCCCTTTCTTATCAGCTAATGGACAACACCCATTTCACTCGACCACAACACTTCCCTCATTTCAGTCAAGCACATAGTTATTTCATTCTCTCTGCGGGCTGTTTGTTTGTTTCAAGCCTTCTCTAGAGTCGGCTTCTTTATTTATTTTCTTTCTTTCTTTCTCACCATCCCAGATGAAGCAGCTGCATGAGTTGTCAGTAAACCAGGATCAAGACTCTCTTTGTATCTCACTCTCTGCAGATTGATCTTCTCTCTTTGATACTGTCTATATTAGCTCTTCATACATACACCTGAGCATCTTGATGTACTGGTCTCACGACTTGGTTTCATTGCTCAGTTTCGTACTTGTGTTTGTGTTCCTGTGTAGCTCCCCCCGTTCGCATTCCGACTGCTGCAGACAAACCCTCCCCATTCAATTCAGTCACAGGCTAACTAACAGCCAGCATTACTGCTCATTTCTCCCCCCAGCCTGCCATGTCTCGCCAATGAAGAAACAGAAAAAACCACCGCAGTCAGACATAACTCAGGTGTGGAAGTTGGGCTTGACCTCCTTTGCCGGTATGTTCGGATATCAGCCATCTCCACCACTATCCCGCACCGGGCTGCATTCTCCAGCCTCCAGCCTCCAGCCTCCCCTCCCCTGCCTTACCCCAACCCCAACCCCAATTGCCTTCCTTCAGGCGCCTCTCAATGCCCCCTCGCCTCTGCCGTTGCACAAGTAGAAAAACAAAAAAGAAGGGGAGGAAGAGAAAACAGAGGCTAAAAAGGACAGAGTCCCAAACAAGAACAGTGCCTCTTATAATGGATCGTGTCAAGTTGGTCAAGAACAAATTTGGTTTCCGCAAGATACCCAGTGCTAATTCTTCTCCTCTACCCGTGGTTGTGAAACATTCAGCTGCAGAAGCCCCCCAGATCCGCCTAGCCGATGTCGAAACCCAGCTCAACATGCATCAGTTCAATGGCCTCTTCGAATCCGCTGCTCCCGAGCGGCTACAACAACAATCCCAAAGCCTCCAGAATGGCACAAGTGATGGCCCCCAAGAAAACCCTTCCGGTGAGCCTACTGCAGCATACACATGAACCCCTGTCGTATAATTTATAAAAAGGCATATAAAACGGCTACTAACAGATATACCTTGCTCTCCTTGCCTGCAATTTAGCATTAGACCCAGCCACTGCCACTACCCGAACCGCCCCCTCCGCTACCGCAACATGCAACGGAGAATCACCACAAAACCCTGAATGGTCTTCTGCCGTAGGACACGCAATGACAGGAAAATCTGGCCGGGTCATCCACAATCTACAAGAAGACATAGCCCGCCTGACACGGGAATGCAGTCTCCACCGCTCTCGCGCAGAGGAGGCTCAACGAGTAAATGAAGCTCTCAGACTCCAACTGCTGAACGTAACTGACCGGCTGCGCAATTCCGAACAAGCCCACGAGGCACACCTGATTTCGATTGCGCGTAAAGATAGGAAGATTGAAGAACTGAAAGCGGAGCTGCAGGGGGAGAAGGAAAGACGGCTTAAGGCCGAGGATGATGCGCGGAGGACGAACCAGCTCGCTGCCCTGGAGCGGGATGAACACCATCGCGCATTCGCTGAGGCAAATGAGATTGCTGCACAGGCGCGGAATCAGTATGATACGCTCTCGCGCGTGCGGGCCAAGGAGCAACTCGAGCTTCGGACGAGGCTTGATGCGGCCCGACGGGAGCTGAGGGAGCTGTGTGGGAGGGAGGTGGAGAGGCAACAGCAGCTGATGCGCTTTGATGTGATTATCGAGCAGAAGAATAGGGAGATTGAGGCTGAGAGGGAGCGGATGGAGAGGTTTGGGAGGCTGTTTGCACAGTATAAGGAGGCGAGTGATCAGGCGGTTGGGGAGTTGGTGGAGCGGAGTAAGCTTAATAATGCTGTTATCGATGATGTGGTTGAGCAGGTGAGGGAGGTTACGGGGAGGATGAGGTGGGTTATTAAAGTCAAGGAAGAGGTTAGGGGGGCGGAGTGATGGCGAGGGGGATGGAGGCTGAGGTGCAGACGCAGATATGGGTGTTGATTGACGCGTTTCTTGTTCTTTTTTTTTTTTTTTTTTTTTTTTTTGTCATTTTTCTGAGAGATACCCAGTCCGCAACTCGCAAATCCCGGTCTACAATACTCGACATTTGATATTTGATACCCGATACCCGATATACGATTATGACGTGAGGGTGAGTTTGTTGTACAGTTCCAGCGCAAGAAAGAGCGAACTGTATTTGAATCCGGTCTACCCCTATCCCTTTCCATCTTTAAGGTGGAAGCCAGCAAAATCTGGAAAAGTGCTGTCAATTCAGCTCAATTGAATCCATGGATGTCAATTGTGCTGGTCCTATGACCTTCATGTACACCTCTCTGAGTTTTAGAGATCGATGGAGAGATATGGAGGGGAGAAAAAGCCCAGATTAACTGGCATTTCCGGCGAGACGAAAGATATATATCCATCTCATGTCCACCCTCCGGGAATATCAGATGCACTCAATATCGTTTCCCCTCTTTCTCCCTCACACACCACCCGCGATCGTATTGCTTACCATCTGCTGCGGGCTCCATGCATGTACTGTATATGTACTGTACCTGTCCATGCCACGTTTTACTCTACACACACAAGAAGAAACGCAACCTCTAACGATCAAACACTTTTACGTTCCGTGAATTCTCATACCACACCATACATACACATACCCCTGCGTTGATGCAGCGCACTTAATACGAGACGGCATTGCAAAGAGTCTACCAAAGAAAGAAGCAATTTCGCATTTCAAGAAAAGATACAGGCTTTCTTTTCTTTTCTTCTTTCTTATATCGACTTTTCTCGTTTTTCTTTCCCTTTTTATTTTCAGACAATACTGCGCAGGTTACATAAAACTCAAGGTAACACGGTATGGGAGGTTATCTTTTTCATTATCATGGCCTTTTCATTTCTTCTTAATTTCTCATTTAAGAAGTGGCAAATTTTTCTGTTGTCTGTTTACATTCTCATTTTTTCTTACCTTCTTTACTTAACACCTTGCGGAGTCAGCTTTCCGTTTGTATTGGTTGCATATATCCTTTTAATTTTCTTTTTTCACATCTTGAGCACCGTTTTTTTAGACGGACATGGCGTTTGCTAATGGATTGCCTTAATTTCTTTCATTCCCTTCTTCTTCTATGGTAATACGGACCTTTTTCTAATTGCCTTAATATCCAGGCATGTAATTGCAGGGCCCTAGTTTTCTTCTTCGCAGATTCGTTTATAATTTCCCTCCCCTTCTTCTACTTGCAAAAATTTTTTCTAGTTTCTTCTACAGTGTTTTAAATGCATTCCTATTCCATCAAGTCAGTCTGACTATGCGGATGCCCGTTCTTGCAGCAATGATAAGAAAAAGAACCAGCTAAGGGCATTCCAGGTTTTAGCTACGTTGCTTCTGCCTTCTTTTTGTTCTTCTTGTTGGACTCGGACTCGGGGAGGAGTGAGGAATGCAGTCAACTACATCCTCTAACTGCTCTGCCAGATATTTTATATCCGTGTATTCCATGAGCATAAATACTCCCTTGGGCCCCCTCAGCTGCATCCCAAGCTTTTTCATACATTTATGTATATATGTACATGCATACATATATTTTCATAAGAGCAGCTCCCAGTCAGAGAGCATCACAAATGTCCTCTTCATACTACCGCGGCTCTTTCTCAGTATTGAACTGACACTTGGAGTGAGAAACACAGCTGCATAGATTCTCATACACTGCATTGACATGGTGAACGGCATTTCAGCATCTGGTCGCATTGCTTACATTATCAGGACACAACTGATTAACTAACATCAAAAATGAGTGGAATAACCCATGGATGTGCTGATTGTTTTGTTTTCTTCTTTTCTTTCTTTTTCTCTTTCTTCTCAACTAACATTCCACTGTTTCATCAACCCATCCTAGCGGACAAATTGAGTGAAGAAAGGAAGAAGAGCTCCCTTTGGTTCCTTGCTGCTGTTCTACCTATATCTATTTCTAATTTTCACTGCCTTCTTTAATCTCTGCGTCTTCGACGCGATAGTGCCTTTACTGTCCTGTTCACCTGCTGGTTGGTCTGTCCTCCGCGCGTCAGTCGGCTCTCTTATAGCTCACTCATACAACCTATCCAAAACCCTTCGACAAACACTCTTGGAGCCTCTAGCTATCCTACATTGGGGCTCTAGCAGCCTTCCCTCATTCGAGACTTGGAATTGTTTAAGGCCTTTGATGTCCCTTGTTTAAGGTAGCAATCTCTGAATGAACTTTGGCTTCGATATCTCCCCCAGCTTCTACCCCCGGCTCTCCATCTGCTTTTCCACCCTTACGAAGTAAGAGTGAAGAAGACCATTAACTGATAGACAATCCACTTTCAATGAAAGTGGATTAGTCTCTGTGAATCAATGCTGTCTGTACCCTCACTTTTCTCTTGAGATCTTAGTGATCCATCCATTTTTGTTTGTTTACATCAAGGTTTTAAACGTACATTATTACCTCGAATCTGCTTCGCACTGACTGTTACATCTATTTGCTTATACTCAAGTCCCATCAGTCAGAATATCTGGCTTCAAAGAGACGTCTTTGCTTCGGGGTCCACATTTTGATTACAGTACCCCTGAAGCAGGGTTGTTGAGCATCATCGTATGACTTTATTTGAACCCCTACCTCCATCTACTTCTCTTTTAGTGAAACTCTCTGCCTTTCCGCATTTCTGCATATCGAAAACAACGATATCTCAACATGGAAAATCCAAAAACATTGACTGTGGCTACTATCTGGAAATTTGACAAAGACGCGGTACGTTGACATCTTGCTCCCCTTCTATCGTATGGATTTCCAACTGACAACTCATATTCAACGTCGTTAGGCTGGGGATATTAGAAAGCTTTTCATGTTAGTTACCATAATAGCCCCTACCCCAACGAGTTTCTTTTATCATACTATTATTAGAAGCTGTATACTAAATGCCGTCACTCGTGAAGGAAAACTGCCAATACTAGCTCTGGGTTCTGCAAATATGAGCCTGCTGAAAATGTGAGTAAATTATCTCCTTGCGAGGACTTTAGAGGGTTTCAGATATGTCTGTTCGTTTGCTAATCTACTCTCCTGTTTTGTTCGAATAGGTTTTTGTTGTGGATGGCTGTGATGTTATTGGATCTGCTCCTGAACTGGGCTACTTGGTTGCAAAATGCATTGGTGGTGGGGGGGCTAATGACATGCTGAAGGTAAGGTCACCCAAATAATATTATGTTTCTTGGTCAGTTACATATATGTTAACTTATAGGAATCTCTCACCTTTTCATACAGATTTCGAGGGTTTCCCGTTTAGGACCGCTAAACACCCAGAGCGAAAATCCTTATGCTGATGATACAGATGCGGAGACCAAAGGAACCCTTATCGATATAGCTCATATCAGTGAATCTACCAAGGTTCCGTTTACCATTGAGTACTGGCAACCGGAAACTGGAACTGTCGGGGTCTTTGAAAAATTTCCATTTGCCATTACCGAAGTTTCAAGATTGTCCGGAGCGGACGTTGCTCTTGAAGAGTCTGATAGGAGACTCCGCGTATCCAGCTACCTCACCACCCAGGTCAAAGATGCTTTAAACCGGCTCTTGAGTTTGCAAACTTCCCTTGTAAGTGTTCTTTGTCTGCGATTCCGGAACCAGTTCACGCCATGTTCATGTTGAATGCGTTATTGGCGCTGCTCTGGGCTGGTTGCCAGGTAGCCGCAACTTTCTTTTATTTATCCTCCTTCCCAGCCCCTCTCGTTGATCATCATTCTTTGCCTTTTATTTCCATGCTTCCCCTTCTGTGGTGCCACCAATGCTGATACCTAGTTATTTCTGCCAGTCTTTTTCAATTACCCCTCATATTGCACACGTTCTAAATGTCTCTCCAGAGCTTGAATATCACCTCACGCTTTCTGTCTACTCGGAGCTAAACTCCCAGGCGATTAACCGTATCCTCGTTGACCCGGGAAGGAAAGAAATAGGTGGGCTATGCAGAATGCTTGCAACCGTCATTGTGCCAGTAAACCGGCAAAAATCGTGAAATGCACTTCCCTGCCAACATCATAGAGCCTCCATGCCCAACGATACCCACAAAGGGACAGTCCAAACTATGGGCCAATTTCAAGTTCCGAGGCCTGGGGAATGCGTCAAATATCCCACAGTTTGTCAAACCAACTCAGCAAAGTCGGTTTCAGCAAAGGCGACTCCAACATAGTCAGTTGGACAACCACAGCTCCCTCGCGGCTGTTCAGCAAGAAGCCATCCCTGTTGAGAGGCATCCTTTCTTGACCCAGGAAAAGGTCTCTCGTGTCAACAAATGGGTTGCTGCGGGAGTTGAGGCTGGCGCAGTCGGTGTCGGCGTACTCGAACCTAACAGCACTCCTTCTCCAAACCCTTCTGCTCTGCCAAGACTGCCTCTAGGGATTTAAGAGGCGCAAAGCCATCATCATCGATACAAAGGGTCATAGTTCCGGATCAAATGAAACTTCAAAGCCGTATCCGCTCGCAGAACCTGATAAAGCCAACGAAGTTGCTTCCGCCCAACAGAAGCTCCAGCTGCCTGCGAATTCTAATGAGTGCGCCGACGAACAGTCGGAATGTTACACTTCCACAAGAGGCCTCCAAGAAACGACCTCTAAGCCCAAGTTAAGCCCCAAGCCAGCTGCGAAGCGAGGATCGGTCAAACTTATTAATATGGATGAAACGCCGGAGATGCCAACAGCAACGATACCGCCCATGGCACACTTAGAGTCTATTTTAAAGCCAGCACAAGCAGGCCCAGAATCGGAAGACTATAGACCTGGACGTTCAGTTGAGAAGGGTCGTACTGTCCATTACACCATGAACAACCAAGCTGGGAATAACACTCGAAAGGGTCAAGGGGGCATGAGTAACTTGGAAAAGAAAACTAAAATTGCGGAGAGTTGGGACGTGCCTGATATGTCGAGAGCAATGACTTTCGATTGCCGCCGCCCTTCTGCCAAATCCATTCAGCAAAAAAGTGAATGTAAAATTGTCCAGCAGGCTAAAGAAGTTGAAAAATGTATAACATCCACTAATAACTTCCTCCGGCAAATTGGCCTAGTTTTGAATGGGGCTCGATCCTTTCCAGGAAGCCTTTCTCTAGAAATCCAGTTGGGTCTGATTCTAATCCATCCCGCGGCAATCGAGGCGAAATATAAAGAAGCTATCTTTAACACCCGGTCATGGAATGTTATATTTCAACCAAAGAACAACCTCACCGCACCAAGCACAATATTCACTGACAGGCTGACAACGTCGGGCGCAGACATCGAATACATCGTTGATTTACTGGACGATGAAGGAGCCAGTCCATGCCAAATGTTTCCAGATACAATCTTGTCACGCCGCGTCTGCTATGAGTTTCATTGTACAACCAAGAATAATGAGTCTTTGGTGGTCACCGTCGATGAATCCGGAACAGCAGTCGTCAATAGACCGGAATTTATTCTTGGCTCGGTAAGCGCTCACTGCGCGGCTCACACCTGGGATATGCGAGGTTTAGTCAAAGGGGCAATTGAGTATGTTCGAGGCGATGAAGAAATCAACCTCGCAATCCAAAATCTCATTGCCAAATTGTATATCCGACCAGACAAGTCCGAGCTCGAGATTTTTATTCAGAATCCTGAAGATGGGCCATTGCTCATTACAAACGCTTTCGTCAAGCGTTCCACTAGACATGGTTTCCATAAGCATGAGACTGGACCTTGGCATACTAACACTACTTGGAAGTCTGCTCAGAAGTCTTCTGCTGAACACCCAAACCCCTATTCCTCTAGCGGTTAAAATAACAACACTTTGAGTGGCAGCTGCAGTCGTTCGAGAACATCACGAGAAATCCAGGGACCAATTCTTCAAATCACCGAGGTGCAAAATCTTCTTTTCGGAGGTCATGAATATGACAAATCCACCATTTGTGCCCTAGCAGAAAATCCAGAGGACATGGTAGAAGGCCATAGGTGGTGGTACGAAGTATCGATTATAAACCTAGAAATCGAGAAGATTCTGCGCAGCTATAAATACCTTGAGCTTGGCGACAGTAACATTTCCTGGACTACCTTCGACCTGCCCGCTTCTGCGTCCAGGAATCCGAACAAGGCTGACTCCAATGTTACAGGCCCCCCTGCCGCGGCGAGCCAAAATCTTACGGGTGAAGAATCAGACAACCACACCTCATCGGGGTATCAAACAATACGGTAGAGATAAGTTCAAAGGACGTTAGCGAAATGTTCCACGCTGCGAACAAGATTGTTGAAAAAAAATCGATGGTGTGGGCTGGGCTAATTTTGGCTCCGAGTCCACGGCCGCGGATATGATCGATCGTGCAGCTTCGACCTCGCTGGCAGCAGCGCCGTCACTGTTTTCGGCGACCATGCGTGTCCCGACAGAGATTGGTAGGGGACGTTCTGGCTGCTTGGAGAGGTTGCCTAGTTTGAATGAAATGGAGAGTGCGAGTGCTGTGAATGGGCTTCCCAGAACTGATGTTACCGAGAGCGAGTTTTGGTAGATGTTGGTTTCTTCGTTAGACGGGTCTTAAAAGGGGTTCATTTCTTTAATTGACATTATTCCTGTTAAAAACATATCTAGGAAGGTTATGCAGGAAGATAATGGGGGAGCAGATGTTTGTTATGCAAATTCACAGTTGAGAGGATGGTGTCAAGGATCAGAGATGTGGGCTCCCAATTTATAATTCGTTTTCCAAGTTCTTTCAGGAGATGCAAGCTCAAGCAAGCGAGTTTTTGGTAGTAATGTTTATTCTCAAGAATGGAACCAAAATTCATGATTTGTAGCTTAGCTATTGTCAACTTAAATCGGCTTTCCACTGCCCTTCAAAGCAAGGTAAACTCATAGAATTAGGTACATCGCTCAAGCAAATATATTGAAATGACAGGTTTACCTTTAAAATAAATTTGTGGATTGATACCTCTACTCCATAGATGCATTTATTTGTATATAAAATGTTCAAATGGCGAACCCAATGCAATATGTGAAAGATAAAGATGGGTCACTATTTGAACCATTACCATTCTACATCTCTGCACGATCCCTGGGCTCTCTCACCTAATTAAAAAAGACATGGGAGGGAAATGGACTACAAGAAGCTGGATTACCGAACCATTTTTCTATCCATGAAACAATTGTATATTTTCTCCTGGAACATAGGCTAGAAGGAAATATCGGAATCACAACAAGAAAAAGGTATTGTAAAATAAATACGAGATATTTATTGCGTAAAAGGATAGAGAAAATGGCCGAGCTCACCCTTTTTTGTAATAATATTAAAAACAAATTATAATTCTTTCGCCCATCATCTTCCTTCTTTTTCCTAGACACTTTTTATTTAATCTTTATAGGAGCATATCTTGTAGATACCGTTCCCCCTATAAATAATACACACCAAACACCTAGATGAACCAACCCTTTCTTCTAGTCACCCTAATCCTCTTCATCCTCCACATCCTCCACCCTTCTCAACCATGCGGCCTTGGCATCCACCGCCGCCTTCCGCACATCCCGCTTTGGATCATCCAGGGCGAACCTCAATGTGCGTAACACGGCACTCTTCAATGGAAGCAGGGGTGATGGTTTGGAAGTAGCAGTTTTCTCTGTTGGCGAGGCTGGGTTAGTAGTACCAGGCGTCTGGGCGAGAAGCAGGAGGCACTGGAGTGATTGTGCACGGATATGTGGGGTGTTAGGTGTTGGAGCAGTACTGGTATTTGTTGTCGCTGCAGTAGTAGCAGCATTAGTAGCTGAAGTCGTTAGAGTTGATGATGCTGCAGCGCTACTGTACGTGGCCGTCTTCAGCAGCCGTTTCACTAAGTCATCAACGTAGCCCACTTCCGCGATTGTGCGAACTCCGTTATCGCGGATTATTACCGCAAGTGTTTCTAGCGTGCCAGCCTTTATGGGCTGGGATTCTGCATCAGTCAGATCCAGGCTTTGGAGGAGGAGCGGGAGGAGTGTGGGAAGCTCTGGCATTACGAGAGATGGGGGTATTGTGGAGAGTATGCCAGATAGGGCTGTAAGGTAGGCTTGTTTTGTGTGGGGCGCGATTTTGGCCGCCGTCGATCCGCTGGCAGAGGAGGCAGCGGTGTTGAGGTCTCGAACCTTTTGGGCAATTAGTGGAACAAGAGTGGAGAAAACACGCTGTTTGCATAGGAGACGGATTGTAGCGCCGTTTGCGTGGGAGAGAACGTCATCAGTGCTCAGAAGGAGTGCGAAACACCGCGCCACTGTTCTGCTCGTTTGAGCATTCGGGGAGGTGAGGAGGGCCAAGAGAGAAGTGAGAATTTCGGTGGTTGACGGTGCAAGGCGGAGGATCAGGGCCTTGAATAGCCAGAAGATTGTACGAATTTTTGGTGGCATAAGGGTTTCCTTGGTCGGGGAAGTGGCTGCGGATTCGATCAGGGATGAAAGGATTGAGGACGCCGTTGATAATTGCGCTGTTGGCAGGAATTTATTAACCAGGAGTGAGAGATGGCGGGCTAGTGCTAGATGGGTTGCGAGGTTTTCCTCAACAATAGCATGGCGAACCAGTTCCTGTAAAAGGGAGGTCATGTCCGGGGTAGTATATGGGAGCTTTGAATCCCTGGGGAGGCCGGCAAGGAGATACGTTGAGAGGATCATCGTTTGTTGTTGGAGTTTGGTCGAGGTGTGTGAAAATGGGATCGGAACAAAACCGTCTTGTGCTGCAAAGAGACAGTATACGTTCTCACAAACTTCATCCTGCTTTTCGCGCGGAAGGCACCGGACAATGAGGTTGCATAGCCGTCCCAGAACATTAAGAACAGTCGAGTCCTGTATTGTGGTAGTGTTACTTTCCATAGTTCCTGTCGCTACCCTTCGACACAACTTGACCAATATATTATCATAATAATAGTTGATGTGGGGGTCATTTTCCAGCCCCTTTCGATCCATTGCGTAAAGTATCGTCAAGAGGATGGCGCGTGGGTATGCAGAAGTGCTTGTATTTCCCGGCTGAAGTAGAATTTCCAGCTTTCTCAAAAGGCGGCGGACGAGAATCTCAAATATATCCTTCTCTATACTGATTTGGGCTAGACTTTCAAGAGTCATAAGATATACGGGGTCAGCGTCTTTGTCGGAGTCTGGGAGTGTAGCTACGAAAGCAGGAAAGGCGATATCCATGATGAGTTGTGGCTTGTGTTTCGAAATTTCGGCCAGAGCGTGTATTGCCTCCTTTCTCAATTCCACTCTTATGGCTGTTTCAGTGAGCAGAATTTCATCAAGATACTGTACGAAAAGGCCAATTTCGCTGTCTTGCAAGAAACCCCGAAGCGAAGACAGACGAAGCAAACCCCGCAAAGAGGTAAGACGGAATGAAATCTCATCCTTTGCTGAGCCCATTAGCGCCTGGCTGAAAATTTCAATTAATAGCTCCTGGAATGGGGTGAGGGGATTCCCTGGCGCAGGATCTGATCCAGGGGTTGTCCATGTTCCAAAAATATCAACAGCAGAATCAAGTAGAACAACGAAAGCCTCAAGGAGCGCCCTTTGCTTAGCGATCCCTTCGGCATCTCGATAAATATTGATCAGTGGTTCGACAACAGCCTGGATAATTAAATTAAATGATGAGGACGAAGCAGATGAAAGCGATCTTAAGATCTGACGTGCTGGTTGGGCTTGTTTCTGCTGTGGCTCGCGTAATTGTTCATTACACTCCCTCGTAATTAGTTTCAAATATCCGGCGAGGGGTGAAGTTGAAGCGTTCGTCCCAGAAGTTGATAATCGCTTAGCTACGCACTGAAGTACACGCAATGACTCGTCTGCAAGGACTTCCTCCTGTGCATTAAGGATCTCAAATTTCAAAGAATCCCATATACTTATTGAGTAGCGCGACAGCGTGTCTGGATCATATGAAGATATACATGCGTAGAGAGCGTTCAGAGCGTCTTTCTATTCAGCTGTCAGAGAACGTCAATTTTTAAATCACGAAAGGGGGCCCATATACTTTCACATTGAATGATGTAGAGTCTAATTTGTCCAGTAATGAAGGAAATGCATGAGGAGCAAACAAATCAGTCGACGAGATGCAGTCTTGCAAACGACTCTTCAGATCTTGCGCGGTTATGCCGTATGGATCATTTGGCGGAGGTTTGAATGTGATAGGAAAATAATTATACACCGAATCAAAAAGGGACTTCACAAAGTTAAATTAGCACAATCTGAAGTTCGACTTCCTTGGGGTTGTGTGTGTGTACATTTAGATGGACTTACCTGAACATGGTTGGATATGTCCCATTCCACCATGAGAACTTTAAGAATGGAGAAAATAACCATGAGATTCCTTGGATCTCTCTCCCCGCTCACAAGGTCAACAATTCCAACCAGTGACTCATCACCCATGTCTCGTAGCGCTATACATATATATATATAGAGTAAGCGTCTATCCCAAAAGCTCGACTACAGGGTAGGTGCCCGACCTCGTCGATGGTTTGACATCAAGCCATTCAGCAGTTGAAAAAGCTGAAATCTTTGCGACTGAGAGCGAGTCTGTAGATCCGAGAAATGCTGGAAAATCCTTGAGGTATGTCAGAACTCCTTTAGTCGAAATACTTATTTTGGCGGTTCAGTTGTGAACGAGCTTCTTGGAGAAAGCTGTTATATGTATCAGGAGGGGTGTATGTATGGGTCGTCCACTGACGCACTCACGATCGCATAACTCCCTCAGTCATATCTTTATTAAAACGCTCAAGGCTCTGGAGCCTATCCAGGCCCGCAATTGAACCTCCATCCTCGATTCGATCACAGTAGAATTCAGTTAAGACCTGTACCTGTTGGCGCGAGAGGAATTTTAATGGGAGGGCTTTGATGACAGCGGTGAGGTAGGAGATTGCCTTGCCCCGAATAGCAGGGTTTTCGTCATTGATATATTCCCCTAGGGATTGAACCACGTCAATCAAGGTAGTCTGCTTGTTTTCAAGCTCTGCAAATGTAGGCTGTCAGTACTCCGCACTCCACATTACAGGTCAAAAATTATATGTTGTATAGTTGTAACGTACTCTGGGCAGTGGCCTCGGCAATCTGGAAAGCTTCCCCCCTGTTATTCTCAACCACCAGCAAGAAATCTTGCAAACCGGACATCTTGCTGGTAAGAACCTATATTTCCAAATGCGAGGCCACCGTGGTGAAATTGAACAGTTACGAATGATGGTCGTTCGTGTTTGCGATTTTCGATCTGGTTATGCCCGCCGTTATCGATAACAGTCACGTGCGGCTGCTTTTTTCATCATCCACAAAAAATTTATAACGACAAAATAGAAGGAAAAATAGCAAAGTGCTATCATACAAGGACGATGAGATTTGGTAGCGTCTAGGAGACAGAAAGGAAAAGTGTCAAAAATAAAAATAAAAATAAGTAGTAAATAAAAGTAACTAAAAGTTATAATTGATTAGCATGTCTTGGTTTCGATCCAAGGTCCTCCGGGTTATGAGCCCGGCGCGCTTCCGCTGCGCCAACATGCTTACTTGGTATTATTAAGAATGTAGCAAAGCATATATATAGCTGACAAAAGTGTTTTAACCCGTTTTGTACTAGATTCACCGACCCCTGTGTCTCAACGCTCTATCGGTTTCGCCGAGGATTTCTGTACATTATGAAGATTCTTGCCGAGTGTGATCCACTACGGCCTAAATGATTTGGGTTATCGACTCAACAGCAGCATAAATCGAAAAAAAAACCCAACATGCATGGATAGTTACCATCATAAGACCGAAATCACCTGGTTAAAATGATGATCACGTGACAGTAAGCTCTAACTTGAACGGCGGCTTTTAAACTTCCAAGATTGATCGCTTGATGATATCATCCCCTTTCACCACCTGCGCCGGTTATGTAGAAATAATACATCCCGCCTAAGAGTCTGCAGACGCCATACAAAAGCTACTCATCATGAAGTCCCTACTCCTCAAATACCTCATCCTTCTCTCCGTCGCCTTGAGCGTATCCGCTCTCCACATCCTCCCCGAATCCCTCAAGTCGCGACTTGTCTTCCGCCGCCGTCTACTCTCCCAAAACATCCATATCTCCAGTAACAGCATTGAGCCGGATCCAGGCTCATTCCCACCATCAGTCTTGCAACAAACGCCAATAATGGGGAACAGTCCGAGCAAAGAACAGGACACAGAGGAGCAAGGGCTCCTTTACATCTCTGACATCCTCGCCAAGTCTCGCGAGGTCAACATATTCTCCTCTCTCACGCGGGATATCGAGTCCGTATCGACCCGGCTAAGTAACGGGACGAGTAACAGCATCGTACTGGCTCCTCTGAATTCAGCGATTAAGGCACTACCCCGCAAACCATGGGAGGATCCGTCGGATTATAAACACTTCGGAGAAAAAGAAGCATATGCAGGGAAGCAAGGGGAGGGGAGGGCGGCGAGGAACCTGCGGCGTTTTGTTGAAGCGCATATTGTGCCGGAGAGCCCGTGGCGGGCTAATAAGCAGGTGAAGACGGTGGGAGGCGGTAGTATCTATTGGAAGCAGGAAGATGATGGGAAGATTTATGTGAGTTTTCTCCATTTTTTTCCTTCTTATTTCTCACTTTTTGTTTTATATCTTGAGACAGTTCAGTTTTTATTTTTATTTTTATTCTTTGGGCTAATGGCTACATAGATTTATCCTAGCAAAATCGAGGTTAAAAAGATTATGACCCAGGCGTCTAATGGAGAAGTCTGGATTCTTAAAGGGGTTGTCAACTACATTTGATGCGGGAGGATATTATAATGTGATGAAATGAATGGTGCTGCTTGCATCGTTGTCACTACGATCGTTATGATGCGTATTTTACCTGTCTTTCTATATGGATATCCGAGTCAGAGTTCCCGAACTCACTCACTTTTTGGGGATTTGAATGGGTTTTGCAAGCGATGAGGCATTATTAAATGGGGTTGCATATTCGTAAACACAAATAGAAATTTCTAAGGTCCTTGTTTCAATTTATTTATGTATCTCATGCAAGAAATACTGTGCATGTTTCTAACCCAAATACTAACAGAACAGGCACACCATACCGTTTCTCTAAGCTTCATAGGAATTTAATATAATACATCATCGGATCATCATATTCTACCCAACTCTCTGCAGCAGCCTCTCTTCAATCCCGTCCAGAATGCAATAATGCTCCATGACTTCCAAATTCTCTGCCTCGGCCAGGAACATCTTATCGGGGTCTTGGCCAGGCCCAAAAGGATTCGCAGTCGCACTGGGGTTCATCTGGGACATCTGTTGGGTCATATGGTTGGCAGCTAATGGGTTGGATTTATGTGAGTTAGAGACAGTCCACTTGCTAACAGGTCCGACTATTTGAAAGATAAGACGAAAATAAAAGTGGAAATAACTCACAGTTATCGCTGCCCAAGATAAATCCAAAAACAGGCTGCAAACCAAACAAGTTCAAGAAATACCACGACAGACTTGAGACCCATCTCACGTCCAGATCCTGGGTCATGACTCCGGATTGCAGCATCGACTTGAACCGAATGGTCAATGGGAATGGCAGTTTCACTATGGCATTGTCAATGATTGTCTTCCCCTCTTCCGTATCACTCGGAATATAGATAGGGCAGAGTTAAGGGGATCGGAAGGCCGAACATACAAATAACAAACCCAGAAAAGAAAGCATTAATCCACCCCATGATCAGCGTCTGTGGAATCATCATAGCCATATTCCCCTTCATCATGCCCATTATCGCATCCATGCCAGCAGGATCCGTCATGGGGTTCACAGGTCCCGCCCCTCTCGCATCCGGATCCTTTAAAAATGCGCCCTCCTTGTAGGCTGTGATAAGAAAATTCTTGCGAGCTGCGAGAGCTGACGGGGTAAGAACAGCAGAGGCATTGTTTCGTAGGTTCATGCCGCGGAGGAGCGACAGACGTTCTCGGGACTCTGCGAGAGTCGCGGGCGGTTTGGGCGGAGTCGCAAGGAAGACGGTTGCATAGTGGCGCAGGATTCCGGTCAATATCTGACAAAGTAGGACTTATTATTAGACGCATGATTTCTATAAAGGAGTCTCTGTTTGGAATCGTGAGCTTTTGGGCATTCTGTACCATGACCACAGTAATGGGAATGAGGATCCAGTAGCTATTGAGTTGAGATCATATTAGCTTCTGGGACCACAATGAGGGGACGTAGGGGTTACATACAACAGAGCTGGATCCCGAAGGATAGTCTGTTCCACCCCCTGAACCGCCATTGTAAAATCCAATGAAGTTGGATATACTCGAAGTATATCAAAAACGACTGGATATGAAGGTGATATACTCCATATGTCGTCGCGAGACGTGGAGGTTGCTTGTGGATTAGCGTCATCCCGTGATGGGCGACATCTCTCGCTGCTTTAGTCATCCAATCTCCTGCTCAGGACAGCTCGCTGCAACCTCAACATTCAAACAGCCAGCTCTATGTAATCTTTATCGAAGTTATTTACAAGGACATAAAAATAACCATTCTTCACGGAAAGTTCCACATACCTCTTGGACATGATCAGTGTTTTAACATGACTCTATAAATTCCTCTTCACCTTCTCCAATCCAACTATTGTAGACTAAAGCACACCGCCCTTCCAACCAATGTCCTCCTCCTCAAAGGTCCCCGTTTACTCAGTGTCTGGTATGCGCTTCCACCCTGTGAAGCCTTCAACTTCAATCCAAAACCCTATCTTTCCACATCAATGCGCAAAGTGAATACCACAAAATAACACCCAATCTCATTGTCACAGAGCTCAAAAATGCCACCGACGACGCTATAACCCCCTACCTAACCGGCCTCCCAAAACCGCACCGCTTCGCCGCAGACCACTTCAAATCCAACGTGCGCCTAATCCTAGGCTATGTCGCCGTAACCATATCCGGAACCACATTTTACTTCGACCGTCAACTGGGCTGGAAAATATCGCATCTGTGGATAACGGCCGCCGTCGTGGTGTATTTCTTTCTCAATATCGCGTTTACGATCTGGATATGGCTAGTGGAGGCTGGGCAGGTGTTTGAGGGGAGTAAGGAAGATGGGGAGTCGGTAGGTTCCCCATTATCATCATCATTATTATTTGTTTCTTCATGCCTCGCTGCGCTGCATTTGCTCAAGATGTTGTACGGTTGGAGGATAATGAGCTAATTAAATACATCCAACAGCTCCAAATCCGCTCATCGACCAAAAAGCATTCGCCTCTGTACACGCTCCATATTAAGCATACGTTGAAGAACGGTGCGGTTCTTCAAAATGCATCTGTGTCCGCACCCTTCTCGAAATGGTTCTCTGCTGATGGCACGTTTCATCCCGAACCTTTTAAACAATGGTTTACGAGTGAGGTTAAGGCTTTAAAAGGGGTGGACTCGACCAGTGGAGCTAAAGTCAAGGCGGGGAAAAAGTAGAGTTGTGAGTTTGGTCTGATTGATTTTTATGTTGAAAATCTATGCAGGGGAAAGGGGAACGTATGGAGAGTTGATTTTTTTTTTTTGTGCGTGTGTTGAGTCACCCATACCCATGAACTATTGTGCTGCATATGGATGATGAGAGAGGCGATATCATAGGTATTTAATATAATGGCAATGACACGTTCCAACATTGCCAAAGTTACGAAGACATTTTTCGCGTTGGTCTAAGGCACCAGTAGACTTGTCTTCAGGTCCGCGGTATTGCCCAAAACCGGTCCTTTTTTCTTGACGATAGTCAGGGGACACGATGATCTTTGACATCCTAAATATATGTGAAATCTCGGTTTCTTCATATTTTGGAGAATGTCTATACCTAGTAAAAGTAAATGTAACCATAAGCCCCTCAAACCTTTACCCGGCTTCATGTGTCTAAGAATGAAAAGGTCCAATTTAGAATACACTGCCCACTACAATTGCAAAAATGACATCAGGGATACCGTGAGACTATTCGATCTTATTTCGTTTCATTCATTTTCACTTTACTCTTTCTCCCTTTTACCAATATGCAATTCCCCGACCCTTTTCTTCCCCGTTTGTCCAGTCAAGTTTTCCCCCTATCGCCGGACACCTGCCGACGAAAAAAAAAATTATATAGATATGTAAATACACAACAAGTTGGCAAAAGATAAACCCCTTTCCCTTATACTGCTTGCGTGACAACGCCCTCCAGCGTGCCGGGCTTTTCGATGGCGTCTGCGGGGTGAACTTGGTTGTGACTCCGGTTCTGGACGATCCTCTGTTGAAAGTTGACCAGTCAGCATAGGATAAAGGGGAATAACTCAATGCGAGGTCACTAGGAGTAACGGGCTTTTAACCAGGTAAATACGATGCAGAGTACTTACCAGCAGATTTCTCAATAGCACAACAATTGTAACCTTGCCAATGGCCGGAACATATATGGATGCTTTCTCCTTCACCTCCGGTCCGAAATTCTGCAGGAGAAACCCTCCTCGTTAGTATATCTCCATACAAAAAAGAGAGAATCATCCCCGCGGGCCCCCCAACCTCTGCCCCGTAACACATACCTTCTCACTCGAGAAATTAATGCACACCGCCCCCTGCCTCAACAGCTTTGTATCAAACTTAAACTGGTCCCCCGGCACACCACTAATAACCACATCGCAATGCGGAACCGCATCCTCCAACCCCCACCCCTCCATCTCCATAACCTCATGATGCCTCTTCCTAATCCCCTCCCCGCGCGTAAACTGCTGCACACCGGCGATATCCACACTATACACACAGGCCCCATCATTCGCCAAAAGCGCCGCCAGCGGCCTCCCCACCACCTCCGACCGATTCACCACGCACACCGTATGTCCAAACAGCCTATTCCCATACGGCAATATCGTATTGTATATCTGCAGGTACTCAAGTATCTTAATGACCGCTAGCGGCGTGCAGGGTAATATCGACTTCTGCTCGTTGCGCGGCGGGTCCAGGAAGCGAATGTTCTGGTACATGTTGAAGATGTAGCGGTGGCTGAGACCCTCGACGTCCTTGGAGATGTCGACGATTTGCTGCAGGTATTGGTCCTGGCGGTTGTTGAAGATGGGGTAGTAGACGATTATGCCGTCGATGTCTTGGTCGGCATTTGCGGCGAGGATGGCGTCTTCGATGTCGTCGCGCGTGACGGTGCGGAGGGTGTAGCGGAAGTTACTGTTACCAGTTTGATATAGCGGTTAACGGAAGATTTTGTAAAAAGGCACTTTGAGGATCAATTGAGCCTTTGAAGCGGATTTCCCATAGCTCAATGAGTAGCTGAGTGGGGGTGACTAGCACCCAGACGCGCGCACTCCCAGATATGCGCAAATGCATAACTACAAAAGGAAAAGAAGAAGAAGAAGAAGAAGAAAAACAACACAAACTGCAAACTCCAAAGTGAAAAAGAAGGCCCTCACTTTTCTATACACGTCTTCTCCGTCCAATCCGCATACATCTTCGCAGCCGGGTCCGAATTGGCCAAAAACCCCACGAGGTGCGGCGCCCTACTCAGCGTCTGGCGTCCCTCGTTTACCTCCGACAGCAGACCGCGTGCAACAGTTGCCGCCAGCACAACTTTGCACGAAGCCGGAACTGGTGGATCTGATGCCATGGTATGGTCGGCTGCTGTTGTGTGAATGTATATAGAAAGGGTGAGGTGTGTGCGAAACGGAGGAATTGGGGTTTAGGTAGAGATATAAGCTGTTGAATCTATTCGTCTTTTTTCTTTCTTTCTTTTTTTTTTTTTCCCTTGGTTCTGGCGCGGTTCAAGGTTTGGCGGGCGGGCTTATCGATACCAGGGTTGGAGGGGTTGAGGAATCATCGTTGGCGACTGGAAATAATGATACAAGTTCAATTGAGAGAATATATAAAGAATTCAAAATAAAATAGACATTGCTTTACTGAAAAGAGGCCGTGACAAGTATCTATCAATATATATAGGTTTGAGCAACCATTCAGAACGGTTGTTGTCAACTAACTCTCTGGTAGAGTTGAGCTACCAGGAAGGTAAACGGTAGAAGATACACACACACACACACACACACACATCTCCCTCTAAACCCCTCCGGTCTAACACCACACCAAGTCAGGAATCACAAACAACAGACACGTCCAATAGTGCCTCCTGGTTGATTTTATAGAGGGCTATATGTGAACCAATCATCCCTCCCAATCCCAATCTGATAACGCCATGATTCCCACCACCCGCGCAGACGGGAAGTACGGTGCATCTAAGGAACCTATCAACCCTTCTCAGCAGCCAAATAATTAATGGAGCATATTCGGATACCTCTGCATCGCATCTACAGACGCTGCATGGGCAGAAGTTTCACACATTCCTGGCACACAGATAGATATACTTGTATATTTAAACCCCTCTCTTTCATCTATTCTAGCCTCTTCTGGCAATCGAAAGCCATACTACACGGAGTGGACAAGAACAACTAGACACACACGGAGTAAAGGTACATTGGACAGTTAATGAGGAACGGCGAGGAGAGCATAAAGAGGGTGTGGAGATAAAGGGACAGCTTAAAGATGATTGAACACAGGACAAACGGAAAAGCAGTGGTGAAGTTGAACTAAATGGAATAAGAAAACAGAAGGAAAATGTTTATCAACTATTATGAGAGTTCTACTTTGGGACACGATGATAATCATTTGTTTTTCACCCATTGGATGCTTCCTTTTCCGTCGTAACTGAGAGAGAAAAAATGGAATAGGAAAAGAAAATTAAAACTTGGTTTCAAAATTGTACACGGGAGCTATTTCTTGTCTATACATAGTACTTGTGGCAGGGTGAGCTAAACGGAAAAGAAAAAAAAAGCAAGGAAGATAAAAAGAGAAAGCACTGTTTTTTTGTGACGTGTGTTGGGTTGGGAGGGAGGGATTTGACGAAAGGGGGGAGGGAGTAAGGGTGTGAAAACGAAGAGCAAAAAATAAAATAAAATAAAAATTAAAAGAAAAAGAAAAGATCATGTTGAATTTTCCTTCACCTCACACAACAAAACACACGTTCACTTCCAAAAAGTCTTTTTACTCTTTCCCCGCCCGCTTCTTCACTTTCCCCCTTTCAACATTGCAATTCGTTCGACGCGCCTACGCCAACTTATGCAGAGAAGCTTTTATTAAACGCAACAATAACATCCTTCAACTGCGCCTCGAGGTCCTTGCTCAACTGTCCTTCCTTCTCAATCTTCTCCAGAACCTCGGGCTCATTGGACTTCAGATGGGCCAGGAAATCGCTCTCCCACTGCAAGATCTTCGCGACAGGGATCGAGTCCAGATGGCCATTGACACCGGCATAGATGAGCGGCACCATCTCATTGACAGCCATGGGCTGGTACTGCTTCTGCTTCAGCAGCTCAGTCAGACGCTCACCGCGGTTAAGAGTTTGCTTGGTGGACGCGTCAAGGTCGGAACCAAACTGGGCGAAGGCGGCGACTTCACGGTATTGGGCCAAGAAGAGCTTGAGGGAACCGGCGACTTGCTTCATGGCCTTGAGCTGGGCGGCGGAACCGACGCGGGACACGGAGAGACCGACGTTAATGGCGGGGCGGATACCTTTGTAGAACAATTCGGCTTCCAAGAAGATTTGGCCGTCTGTGATGGAGATGACGTTGGTGGGGATATAGGCGGAAACGTCACCACCTTGGGTCTCGATAACGGGGAGGGCAGTGAGGGAGCCGCCCTTGTGCTTGTCGTTCAGTTTCGCGGCGCGCTCGAGCAGACGGGAGTGGAGGTAGAAAACGCTAGGGATATCCACGTTAGATAACTATTGGACAGACATAGGAGAAAATAGAGCGGGGTTCATGACTCGTAACATACTCGCCGGGATAAGCCTCACGACCGGGGGGACGACGGAGCAGCAGGGACATTTGACGGTAGGCAACGGCTTGCTTGGAAAGATCGTCATAGATGATGAGAGCGTGGCGTCCATTATCACGGAACCACTCACCCATGGCACAACCAGTGAAGGGAGCAATGTATTGAAGAGGAGCTGCCTCAGAGGCAGTAGCGGCAACGATGATAGAATACTTCATCGCATCGTTCTCTTCAAGAGTCTTGACGAGCTGAGCGACGGTGGAACGCTTCTGTCCCACAGCAACGTAAACACAGTACAGCTTCTTGGTCTCATCACCAGTGTCATTCCATCTCTTCTGGTTAAGCATGGCATCGAGGGCGACGGCAGTCTTCCCGGTCTGACGGTCACCAATGATCAACTCACGCTGGCCACGTCCAATGGGGACCATAGAATCGACAGACTTGAGACCAGTCTGTACAGGCTGGTTGACGGAGCGGCGAGGCAGAATGCCAGGAGCCTTGAGCTGGGCACGTCGCTTCTCGGTGGTCTTGATTGGTCCCTTTCCGTCAATGGGGTTACCCAGAGCGTCAACGACACGGCCAAGAAGTTCGGGGCCAACAGGGACATCAACCTGAGTAGTGGAGAGTTAGATATGTAGAACACCCAGTCTGATGACCAAAAGAATTATTTCTGGTAATGGTATTTTTCTTTTCTTTTCTTTTCTTTTCTTTAATATAATGAACACGTACAATCTCGCCAGTTCGCTTGACAGTCTCGCCTTCTTTGACGAGACGATCGGAACCGAAAAGCACAACACCGACTTGGCCGGCTTCCAAGTTCATGCACATGCCCTTGACGCCAGAGGAAAACCTAGAAAAATATGTAAGTACGATGAATAGATCGGAAGTCTAACGAAAGAGAACATACTCGACGAGTTCCTCAGCCTGGACATTGGTCATGCCATGGACACGAGCGATACCATCACTTTTACCCAGCTAGTTAGTATTTGATAGTATTTTTGTACATTGGTCTACCTGAAGTCGCAATTGACGATAGCAATGGTAGTTTTAATTGTCGATTTTTTGTTTTTTTGTTTTTTTTTTGTTTTTTTTTTTTTTGTTTTTGCTTTCTTTTGATAATTTGTTTTGGGTGGGAGGGAAAATGGCGGGCATACCCAACGGAAAGGACACGACCAGTCTCGGCAAGGCCGGCTTCTTCTTGGACACCACGAATTCTCTGCTCAAGAATGGAGGAGACTTCGGTAGGGGCAGCCTTTGCTTCAGCAGCGTATGTTCTGGCTTGTTTTGAAGCGACTGCGAGAGGTCCCGGGGTGGCACCTCGAACCTGTGTTTTGAGAGGGGGAAAAATGTGTTAGCAGGGTCCGTAAACAACGCCCAACCACAACGCGGTTCGAGGGGGTGCGATTGGATCAAGGGAATTGGGGTTAAAGATGCCATGGACACGATCTTCAGAGGCGGAATTGATGGAAGCGATGGAAGATGATGAATTTGGGGGTGGAATGGATGGGGGTAGGACAAATGGAAAGGGGAATGGGGGGAGGCATACACCAGCGATCCGGCCTGAGGCGCAGACGGCAGTGACGGAGCGGCTGGACTGCCGCAGGGCGTTTCTGAACATTGTGAGCGGGGTTCAGAGAGAGGCGAGATGGAATTGGATGGGGGAGGGGAGAGCAATTGGGGGTTGCAGAAATGCGGTTGAGGTTGAGAGGGAGAATTGTGGAGGTGGGAAAAGACAGAAGCTTTGAGTTTGAGGTTCCAGCGAGGATGGACGAAAAGGGAATAGGCCAAGAACCAGGGCTTGCCGAGAGAAAATTCCTGGTTCCGGCGCAGGGCGAGAGGGAGGGATCGTTGGATGAGGATGTGTGATGTTATACGAGGGGTGTTTCAATGGGAAACGGGAAAGATCTTTTGCTTTGTCCACTTTGACTTTATCTTTATATATTTACATCGTCTATGTGGGTGTATATCCATTTGTGTATGTGTTTCCTGTTCCTGAAGTTGCCGGCGTTTGATGACTCAGCAACCGACTCGCACCAGAAAGATATCAAGTTATGTAGAAAGCAAAAAGAAAACAGAGGATAGAATTGACGATAGAATGGCTCTGCAATTCAAAAAAGCACCAAATGACATCATCGTCTGGTCTTGGGACATATATATATCAATAACATCGTCATGAAACATAAACCCGATGCAACCAGTGTAACTATAGAAAATAATGCTATGGGAGGGGTGTACGGAAAGGAGACAACAATCTCGTCGGGTGCTGCGATTCAGGGAAAATCATGTTCCTGAAAAATGAAGAAAGGAAACTGAAAATAACATCTTCAGCGTGTGCTGCGGCCCATTCCAATCTCCCAATAAGCCGGCATCGTGACCGCCATCCATGCCGGGCAATTCATCCTCCCCTAAAACCGATTGGTATATATAATATAATATACAGAAGACAGTAGTAATCTCCCATAAAGATAAATCGTCCAGCCATCAACATACCTCGATACCAAACCAAATCGAACCCCATCTCTGGCCCACCTTCCAAAAAGTCAATCCTTGCTACCTCTTCCCCCCCCTCCCATCCTTCAGCTTCGCAATCTCCTTCGACACCGCTTCATCAATCCTCGCCTTCAGCTGCGGCCGATACCCAAGCCGAAACAACACCTCCAACCACACAAAGAACGGCGCAAGGAAAAAAGCCTGCACCAGATTATCCAGCAATGCCGGCGCTCTCCCCTCGAACACTCCGTGGCCTATGAACTGCAGGATCCACAGCACCCCCTGAATGCCCAGGCACCAGTAGGTAGCTGTCATGCCGTAGGTGGATGTGAGGTAGTTGGCGAAGACGGCGGCGGAGACGAGGAGCGGGGCCAGCATGCTGCCTGCTACGGGCTCCATGAGGATGTAAAGGACGGTGTAGAGGAGGCCGGATATTGTGCCGAGGTTTGAAGGGAGGTTGGGGAGTGAGAGGGAGGCTGCGAGGGGGATTTGGGGGCCTATGTTTGTTGCCTGGTTGTTGTTTTGCGGGGTTGGGGGTTAGAATTGGGTCTTGTTTATCTTTCAATTTGTGCATCTGTCTGACGCGACAGGAGGGTGGGGCGCGGGGGGGAAATACCAGTTGGAACATGCAGAGCATTATCACCGGGACACAGACGATGTGGATTGCAAGGTTCACCTAGGAAATGGAGATGGGTTAGATTGGGGTTATGGGACTTTGTTGGGTTTTGTTGTCTGGGATATCTTCTTACAGGGTTATGGTGGTAGGCGCCATACTGTTTTGCAACAAACGGTCAGTTCATTTGTGATAGACATCTAGGCAAGGCTATGGATGGATACATCCACTTACAAACGTGAACTGCTTTTCCAGATTGAGCATCATGGCTGGGATATATCGAGATCGCTCTGCACACGCGGCTATTATTTACAGCATCCGGGGTTCTCCGTAGAGGTGTGAATAGGGATGGAGTGGCAATAGAAGAGGAGCATATATTGGTATCGGTGTCCGGAGTATTTATTTCATGTGGTGTGGTGTTGTGTTAGGCGTCATCTAAATATATGCCTTCTCGGGGTAGTTCAACTTGGCTATTAGATACCCAGATGTTTTAACAGGAACGAGGAAAATCGGCGCCGCACTGTGGGTTTCATGTGATCAGACAACAAACACACCCCCAAAGGATAATTTAATAGTGATCGATCCTCTGCGTAGAGTACGAGAATTTACGCAGCACAACAAGATAATAACAATTCAAGTACCTGTCATACTAACTGTGCCTATGCCATAGTTATCTTTCTTCTGAAGTATGTCCGTAAATCCCCATAAAATCAAGAATTCCAGTTTAACTAGAGGGATTAGAGAGAAGATAAATTTATCTCGAGGGCTTCCATCAGCCCATTTGCCTGGGGCATTTTTGGTCTTTTGACACAACAATACGGAATAGATGGGGCTCGCTCCGTCAGGGGAGAACAAGCTTACTAATTGCAAGGTGAGCAGTGTGGGACATGATATGGGATCCAGATATGGCTACGTATTAGCAACTTCGACAACTTGAAACCCTCTGATGCTCCATTTGTTTTGACCTAGTTGTAATCTGCAGCGATTGGTGGGGAGACTGATACCTCACGTGACCCAACCTCCACGACACGTGATCTATCGCGTTTGGTTCCGCGTTCTCAAGTTCTTCTCCAACTCGTCTTGTATGATTCTATTATTCTATCTACTACCTCAAGGCCAGGGGTAACAATAGCAATCTCAGTTCTCTTCTCTGCGGCTCCGCATGTAAATCGCATCCGAACCCCTCCAATTGCTCAGTCAACTAGATGCAAATGATCGGATCTCTGGTCTCGCAAACCCTTTAACGTTCTGCCACTACTCAGCAGCTTCCCTCAAATCTCTCTGTTGTATAAAGAAGGGCAACATCAAGAACAGCTGACCAAGAGAGACGCACCGGGGGAGCTCATCTACGGATATCGTTCCTTTCCAGCCTCTCTCTCCAAGCACACCTGGACAGCGAAACAGTACAAAAAGTGGAGGAACATAGCCTTTCTGTCATGATATGTTAACATCGAGCACACGTCGGGCTTTGTTTGCGCAAGCCCTTCGTCGGGGCGTTCCGATAGATTCCTGTGTATCTACATTTTTAGCATCGGCTACCATTCATCTGGACTGGAGGATCAAAGAAGCGTCTCCCCCGGCTTAACCACCCGGAGCCCCCTCGTCGATTCCCTCGAGCACAGGGCCACTGGAACGGAACAACCGAAATACAGAAGAGACGGAACAGCGCAGGAGCCATTTGGAGAGACAAAAAGCAACAATCGGAGAACCAGCTCAACAATACAGCCAATAGAATCCATCCTATCCTCATCCGCAACCGCCCCCCACAATGTTCTTCATCCACTTCCTTGAACACGTCCTAACCCTGCACCCCACCTTCTTCGGCTCGCACGTCAAGGAATACCTAACGCAGAAACTCCTCGATGACGTCGAGGGCGTGTGCACGGGCGACTACTACATCGTCTGCGTGATGGATACATACGACATTTCGGAGGGGAGGGTGATACCCGGCAGCGGCCTGGCGGAGTATACAATTATGTATCGCGCTATTGTGTGGAAGCCTTTCAAGGGGGAGACGGTGGGTTTTACCTTTTACCTTTTTTACCTTTTATTATAATGCATGCGCCTAACACGGCTGTGGTTATATGCAGGTGGATGCGGTGGTAACGTCGGTTAAGAATCAGGGGATATTTGCGGAAGTTGGTCCATTGACGGTCTTCGTGTCAAAACATGTAGGTTTTTTTTTTTTTTTTTTTTTTTTTTTTTGTTTGTTTGTTTGTTTGTTTATTGATTCTGGAGTTTCCGGAAGTTCACAATGTCTAGGAGATGCGCGTGAAGTATGTTTGCTGACTTTTCTTCTGCGAAATGCGCATAGTTGATCCCGCCGGAAATCAAATGGGACCCCGACGCGACTCCGCCGCAGTATACGGATAATGGAGAACAGGTCATTGAGAAAGGGACCAACCTGCGCATCAAGCTTATTGGGTTGCGAAATGACGTGCGAAATATGTTTGCTATTGGAAGTATCAAGGAAGACTATCTAGGGTGTGTTTGCTATCTCCTCTACAATTGGGAATTGAGATTGGGGTGCTTTCCACAATGACCTCCAACGACTGACTGTTCTGCTTATCATATAGGACCTTGTAAAACGATCTTTTTTACCATTTTTTTTTTTTTTTTTTTTCTTTTCCCTTCTTCTTGGCGGATATAGATACACGGGAGGGGCAAGGAAAAGGGTTAGATTTATACTACCCCCCCCCCTATTGTAACAGATAATGTTTTTTTCTATAAAAACAATCGGTATGGGGTGTCTTTTAAAGGTGTTTTCTCCTGAAAAAATCCCGCCCCCCCCCGCGGAGTGGGCGGCCCCCAAAACCCGGGGGGGGGGGGGTTTTTTTTTTTTTTTTTTTTTTTTTTTTTTTTGGGCCCAAGCGGGTATAATTCCAAAGGGGGGTAGGGGGGTTTAAAGGGTTTTAAAAAAGTTCCTTTGGGGGGGGGGGGGGGGGGGGGGGGGAGGATGGAAGGGATGTAAAAATACAAAACTAATCCATTAGAGGTGAAGGTCCACTGGTCCTCTGCCCGGTGCTATCGCATATGTTGCTGTACTGTACAAATGGAATCATTTCATCTGAAATCGGTTGATTGGAAAAAAGGGGTTTGAATGATTGCATCCTGTGTATGTGGTGGAAACAGCAATGATGTAGACAAGCATGACAATGCAATGTGTGTTGTGGCGGGAGTTGAGTTTGCTTTGAGAGAGGTGTGAGGAGAAGTTGCTTGCTTTTCGATTAAATACATTCATTGTTTGTTGTTCCCCTATATATCATTTGCGCCTCTGGTGGTTAAGAGCGTTGCCATGGTGTGTGATTTATAACTGGTTAGAAAACCCTGATCTTTTATCTTTTTATTTTAAATTTTTTTTTTCCCCCCCACTGAAGTAAGGATTCGGTTTCAAAAGAACTGATTTCGTATGTGTATGCAATGTCCTGGAAGCACTGTACTCCGTACTCCGTGGAGCAGAGCAATCTTCCCCGCACTTGATCTCGATGTGATGATCCACCTCCCCGGAACTCTGAATTATCATCCTTCACTTGAGGTTGAAACACGGATGTAGATTTGTTGAAGGAGAAGGATTTTACTGTTTATTGATGAATAGAGTATGCTTTAAAATTCTTCTCAGATATGATTTTCTTGTAGTTATATTCCTTTTCATCGTAATAGCATGGATGGACTTCCATCTGAAGTCACAATTATCAACCATCCCAAAAGGTCCCCAGGCATTTCCCCCGGCCCTTATTTTTAGCCTTTCCAGAAAAGGACTAGAACATCACAGCGAGCCACAGAATGCTTACTGTACCCGGATGAAACGGTGGCGCCCTTGCTGATTGGGTTAGCGAAAGGCGGATCTTACTGCATGCTGCGAAGTCTCAGTCCGGACAGGGCAAAAGATACCCAAAAGGATACCAAAAGATACCAACTTGGGTAAGTTTCTGAAACATCCCACGGGGTAAATTGGAACGACAAAGAGGATGATGCAAGGGCTGGGCAGGCCGTAAGTTACAGGTACAAGGATGGAGCGTGTGTATCGTGGGAACCGCGGATGATTCATGCGGTCATCTTGGGGTGGCGGAAGTACAGGTACAAGAGATTGAACAACAAACCTTCCAAGAAAGAAGCCGCCCGCCCGGCCTGGGCCTGCCGCGCTTTATTATTATTATTATTATTATTATTATTATTATTATTATTATTATTATTATTATTATTATTAATTATCGTCTGTTGTCTTTGTTTATTGCTCTTGTGTGCCCTTTGTGATCCAACAACGACTCCCGCTTCTCAGATGACTCAACATCCTCCATACGGAAGAAAGAGTGCAAGAAAGAGTACAGGCGGATCCAAAGCCTATCTATCTCAGTTCTATCGCTTCGCTGCCGCCGATTGATAGAGACATAGTTATGTGTAAATTGTCTGTTCGCTGGAACAACCGTTTCATATTCCCCCATAACAGCAACAGCAACAACAACAACAACAACAACAACAACACTACAACTACCACCATGATCCCTGCTTGGATGATGCCCCACGCGGCAAAATAAAAGTACCAGACGCGACCAAAAACACTCCCTAATATCCGATATTATTTTCTTCTTACATATCTCTCTCTCTCTCTCTTTCTACATCTGCCACTTACCATCTACCATCCTCCACCTGTCATCCTTCATCATCCTCCATCTGGCCCGTCCAATCTGCCTTCCATCCTGTCATGTCGCTCAAACAAGTCTACGAGCGGTTTCTAGCCGAACCCACTGCAGCGTCTCTCTCTGCAGATGCTGCTCTGAACTATATCACAACCACAACCACCTTCTCGACCCCAGAACCCATCATCAAGCATCTACAAACCCAGTCCCGCTCCCTGAAGAAGAAGTCAGAGAAGATCGTCAATGTCGTCGAGGGTCCCCGCTCTATATGTCTGGACGTTGAGACGTCCCTGGAGTTTCTAACTGGGGGGGGCGCCTATCTGCCGTCGTTGGATGACAATTTCCTTGTTGATCGCGTGGTTACGCTACCGATAGTGAGTTAACTATGGTTTACCCTCCATGCTCCAACCATTTGGATGTTTGACACCATTTTTATTTTATATTTTCATTTCCCATTAGAATGAAGGGGGAAGGGCTATGCTTTTATACTGACGATAGTTTAAAAATCTACCCTAGATTCATATCGTCCACTTCGATAACAGCGACAGAATCACTCAAATTCGATTGTACTGGGACCAAGGATCGCTTCTCAAGCAGATTGATGTGATTGGCGCCTCCAGTCGCAATTGGCCAATACGCGATTCCGCTGAACAGCTGCGTCTTGTCAACTCCTCCGTCTCCGCTGCGGGGAACAGTCCCTCCTCAATGTCGTCGTCAGCCTCCCAGGGTGGCAGGCCGTCTACTGCTGCGTCAAATAATGCATCAATCGCATCAATTACCTCCCCAAGCAAGCGGTTTACAAAGGATCCGCACGCATCACTGTCGCTCTTCGAGCCCCATTCAGACCCATCCGAAGATAGACCTGTATCAGTGTCTTCTCGCGGGTCTGCCAAACCTGCTCCTCGCGATTACAGTGATTTATTCGTCAGTGATGATGCAGATTTCACACCTACAAAACCACCCCAGCTATCTAGGAAGGATGGCGCTGCTATTGCTCCTAAGTCAGGTGCTGATACCAACTATCAGGCGTCTCGTGTGTTTGCGGATGAAGATAGGCAACAGGGAGAGCAGGACAATAATACCAATGCCAACAACAACAATTATTGCCGGACGCCATCAGCGAAAACTAACTCGAAGAAATTCAACCACTTCGAATTCGGAGAGACACCACACCCTGGATCGACAGTGAAGTCGAAACCACCCAACCATTTCGAATTCGGCGTCGCAGAGCCACCCATCAGCACCAAGCCGCAGCAGAAACGAGAGAAGAACCACTTCGAATTCGGCGAGGCAGATCCAGACAGCGTACATAACACCATCCCCATCCGTCCGCGCTCAAACAAACATAATTCCAAATGGGACTTCGAGGACTTTGTTACTCCCGTGAAACCCAAGCAGAAAGTCCAGAGCCAGAACGTGCGCCACTTCGGATGGAGTGATAATGAGGCTGATGGGGATACAAATGTGGCCGTGAGGCCGTTTAAGCCGCCACAGCCGCGCCGGGATGCGGAGACACATTTTGAGCTGCGCGATGAGGGGACGCCCGTTGCGCCGGGCCAGAAGAGGGCGGATGTCCCCACGAAAGGACCAGGGGTAGCGCATAATAAAGGGTTGGGGCTTTACGAGAATAATCTGTATGATGACTCTGGAACGCCCGTTAGTGAGGAGAGACAGCGGCATCGGCAGGAATACAAGATGCCTACGAAGGGACCTGGGGTGGCGCATAATAAGGGGCTGGGACTTTATGAAAATAATTTGTACGATGAATTTGGAACGCCTATTAAAGGGGACGGGGAGAAGGCTGGGGCTGTCAAGGCGAAGGCGCCATTGGGGGTTATCCCGAATGGGGGTGGGGTGAATCGGAAGAAGGACTTTGACAGTCATTGGGTTATGAGGGATGATGAGGTGGAGGGGGATGGGGACGGGGATGCGAGGCCGGGCGTTGGTGAGAATGGGAAGAGGACAGATGAGAATCGGGGTAGTGGGGCTGGGGGCATTGATCGGAAGAAGCCTGGGAGGATGATGGAGGCTAGTTGGAATTCGTTTGAGGAGCAGGAGGGGGAGGGGGAGGGGGAGGCTGTGAAGCGGCGGATGCAGGAGCAGAAGAGGGTTGGTCGGGTTCAGAGCCAGAGCCAAAGACAGAATCAGAGGCATTGGGGGTTTGGGGATGAGGGGGATATGTGAAGGTGTTTGTTGTAATTTTTCTTTGGATATAGTTTTTTCTCGTTATGTTTTGTATTGCTTCCGTTCCATTGTGTCCTTTTTACTTTAGTATTTTTCTCTTCTTTTTGTATGTTCTACTACATTTTCTTCATTTCATCATCTTCTTCTTCCTTTCCCGGATTTGTTTTATACTTTTCCGTTTTCTTTCCCCCCTTTTGACTCACGGCCGTCTTTGCCCCTTTTCTACTTTCCCACACAGCCCCTTTTTTAGACCCCATTGCAAGCATCAATGGGTGTCATGAATACGCATCATGGATAATATCCTTAGGATGGACCGACCCACAGGCTGCATGAATATATGGACGGATATGTCTGTGGTTACGAAATTCTACTTCTCCCTGTTTTTCTTGTGGGGTCGAAACAACATACATACCTAATTAGGTCTTAGTTAACCTCATCTTTCCTCTTCTTATCTTCTTTTGCTGTGACCTGTCATTCAATCCAGAAATGTGCTACGGGCACTCAGCAACTACGGAAAGTTCTTGTGTCGGTGCGCAGCAACCCAACCGCTGCTTCAGAGCGCATGGGCAAGTAGCAGCAGTTTCCATGGATTAATTCAAATTTTCTCCCCCAGCCTTGAATCCAAAGTGAAAACGAAAAGAGAAGAAAAGAAAGAAACATGGCCGCCTGATGGACCCGAGAATGGCTAGTTAGTTGTTAATAGTTTAACTACAAGCAGTTACCAGTTACGGAGGATTTGGATTTTATTTTCTGTTCCCCCCACCTCCCAAGTCCCCGCCGTCCGTTGCATGTTGCTTTTTCTTTCAATTCTTGTCGGTTTCTTTAACCGTTAATCAGGTCCGGAGGAATTCATTCGACAGGAGACTCACGGCCCTCTGGATTCCTGATTAATTGCGTTAACTAGTTAACTAGTTAAGAG